AAGAGCGGGAACAGATTGGGACACTAAGTTGTTTGCAACTTTATGGGCATACCATACTGCGTATAAAGTTACTACCAATGCTACCCCTTTCCAATTGGTTTATGGTCAGGAAGCAATATTACCTATTGAATTGGAAGTCCAAAGTTTACGAATTACTATAAATAATAGATTGGAAGATCAGGATTCATTACGGCACCATTTAGAAGAATTAAAAAAATTAGATGAAACTAGAGCCAATGCATTAATGATAATGGAAACTACACAAAAATAAAGGAAGACTTATTATGATAGTAAGCTTAGACCAAAGACTTTTATGCCAAATGATTTGGTACTTCTTTATGATAGTCAATTTAAAAAAATTCCAAAAAAATTTCAAGTTCAATGGCATGGGCCATATCAAGTTATTGATGAATTTCTAAATGATTCAGTACAATTGGAAGATTTTATGGATACTAAATTTACGACACGGATCAATGGCAATCGGCTTAAACTTTACTATACATAAATCCGGGACAGATTTTCTGTTATAAAAAGGGGGAGGTTAAATAATCATGATGATAGGATATTTCATCATGACGAATCATGGAAAATAAGGGAGAATTGATCAAATTGATTGGACCATAGTAAGAAGTAGGAGGGGGGCTCTTGACAAGCATCATATTTTCTTTTGTGGTTAAGGAGAAGATGGCAAACATGGTGTCTGAGAAAGCAAGGTTGGAGACTGATTGGAAGGAACGACAAGAGTGGCTGCAGGTAGAGGTTGCGATGTTGCAGACTAAACTAGCTGCATTAGCAAAGGAGGCCAATAATTTAGTGTGGATTAATATGCCAATTTCAGCAACAACACCTTTGGAGATACCTTTGAAATCGACAGAAGAATGGCAGAAGATGTTGGAAGAGCGTAACAACCAAATTACCAACGTGAGTCTCAGGTATGGGAATTGGATTTGTTGAATGAAGATCTGATGACGTGTTTGGATGAAGAACCCTCGAATATCGAGGCAGACAACGAAGATGTAGTAGAGAAGAAGATCACCAATTCAAAGGGTGGTAAGCAAACGCCATTGATTGAAGAAGCCAACGTTGCTACGTCTTTATAAGTTGAGGCTAAATAATGTTTGTGAGAACGCTGCACAATTAGGAGTGGGGCTATGTAAAATAGGCAAATAAACTTTGTGATAAGTTGTTGGTTGGTTATTGATAACCTTGAGAATTATACTGATGGTTAGGCAGTTTAGTTGGTAACAATAGGTTGTTGGTGAAATAAATGGTTAAGAATTCAAAGGATCATAACCTTTAGAATCTGCTGGCCGACAGATCATCTTTTTGGTAGGATAAAGAGGTTGAAGAAAGAGAGATCAAAGTCAGACTGTAAGAGTCGTAAGTCGAGAGCCAGACTGTGAGAGTCATAAGCCAAGATCCAGACTATAAGTGTCATAAGCTAGGATTAGCTTGGTCCTATTTCTTTGTTTTCTTTGCTTTTATTATTTTCTGATGAAGAATTGTGATTGAAAGAAGTATTATTGAAACTGTGATTAGAATATTGTGGAATATAATTTTGGACTGATCATTTTGGAAAAAATCTGTGACCTTGAGAATTGAGATTATCGAATTGTATTGTATTAAGTGAAGATATTAAATTCTGTGTGATGAATTGAAAAACTGAATATAATAAGTAAGCTGGAGATGAGTAATTAAATATATATAAACCACAAAGAGAATAAGTGGGAGATGAACGAATAAGAATATGGAAGTATTGTTGAATTGATAGTCGTAGAATGGATTATGCATTGAATTAAGATGGAAGTAGTAAGCCTTGGTGTTTTGTAGTTTGATAATTGATTTCAAATAAGCAAAGTACAGTCAATTGTGACACTAACAAACCCAATTCATATAATCAGTCTTTCGCCATGTTCGAACCCACTTCTATTAGTTTAATTGCTTTGGTATACTGAAGCTTGAACACAACGAGAATAACAATATAGAATATTACTCAAGTCAAATAGAAGAAAAGACTTGAGAACAAAGAAACTACCAAGAACAATATTAGTTTAGAAGAGGGTAATTTGCAACTTCTAATATGCTTATGTCTTAATAAGAAAAAATATTTTTTTTAGAAGATATTGATTTATTTTTATCTACTTTTACTTACTTCTATTTAATCATTTAGGTAATTACTAGAATAAGTATGTATGTTCATGATAGTATGTGCGTGACACAATATGCCAAAATATTCTTATTGATGTACCAAATATAAAATAGCTTTGTAGTTAAAAGAAAAATAATTTGTAATGCAAACATAAGCATAAGCTTACAATCAATTATAAGGATCTTCGGCATAATTCTATCAACAAAAAGATTTTGCATTTATTCAAAAATCCAAGTATAATTTTTTTTTTCTTCCTTCAAAAATCAAAAACAAGAAAAATCAAAGAATTTAGTGATATCACATCCATAACATGTAGCAAAAACATACAAATTATATTAGTCTTTGAGCAACAATCTATTGAGAAGACATAAAGATAATTGCAAGTTAAGCAAATTGAAGTTAGATGACCAAAAAAGAATTGTATTAAGAAATTTTTTTTGGTATCACATATGGAGTCAAATTCATATATATATATATATATATATATATATATATTTGATGAAATAGCCAACATGTTGCCATAATCATTTCTAATGGAGGTTAATACCATACTTCGCCTAGTTTTTGCAACAAGAAGACTCCAGACACACATGTACATACAAGGACTAAAGTGGTATATTATAAGATGAGTAGACATATCTATTGTCTTTGGATGATTGTATATGCCAATTTTTACTAAGCACACTTATTTTTCTAATATTTTATTATATCATGTAATAGCTTTAAAGAGGCAATTGGTGAAGTTAGTTTGTTGGCACCACATCCAATTTTACTTTTGCCAATATACCACCCTCCTTCCCCTTTCTCCCTCCTTGTCACATTTGAACCAAACTTTGTTGTTGCATATTGATTGCTTCTTAACAATGATGTAACTATAGGAAAGTGCAAATTATCGAATGTTAGTGATGAAATATTTGAGTGAATTATATTGGCTATTAAGAGGATAATTTATGTTACTTGTTCTTTTTACTATTCTCTATCTTCTTCTATCTTCAATTTTCTACCTTATTCTATGTCCATTTTTGTAGCTTGTTCTCACTCTCATTGCCTTAGCACATCACTTAATCATGGACTTTAATATAGCAATAATACCTTGGCAAGTATTAAAAAAAAAAAAAAAAAAAAAAAAAAAAATCAAGAAAAAGACAATTCTGGAAACTGGGGTTTCAAAAAAGAGCCTCTACAATTCAAATTGGGTTTTAGAAACAGAATCCAAAAATAATAATCTTTTGGGGAGTTTTGTTTGCAAGACCCCGAAGAGGCACTACCTCTCAACCCCACTCATTGATCACTGCAAGGAGGTGCTTCACCTATCTGGTACCCCCACCCAGTTGTGGCAGGTGTTAGTTAAGGTGTAGCAATATCAATTCTTTGAATATATATATATATATATATATATACACATACATGTATACTTTCCATTCCATTCTCTGGGGTAGGCAGTGGTGCAGTTCCTGGCTTCCGGCACTCATTCATCCATCTTTTCATCCACCTAGAATTTATTGATGCATTCCTCGGTTCCTCCGCCCGAATGGAATGCGTGCAGCTGTGGGTTTGCAGTGCCCAAAGGAGGGAGAGAAGGGGAGGAGGTGCACAGCTATTGTGTGGGCTTTGACCTCACTTGGGGGCTGGCATGTGTGCCTGCTGCGCCGCATCCACGCACCTACCAAGCCAGGCAGGAAGGAAGGCAGGGTGGTCACACACCCTGCAGAGTTTGGAGCTGGGGCTTCAGTGCCACTCTGCTGCTCCGGTTGGCCTTGAGGAGATCGCTAGAGTGTGATATGTCCAGGCGATTGGCGTGCTGTCCAGGGAATAGCTCTACCGTGTGTGTAGTTTCCCCAATTCTCTGACCGCGCAAGTAGGTACAAATCGTCAAGACAAAACAATGCTTTGTCTTCACAATAACTTCTGAATTCAATCTTATGGTTCTTTTACCTTATCTCGGTTGCATATGTTATCGAGTTGTTTGACCGTACCATGACACTTCAATCTTCACAGGTGGTGAGTTTAGCTTGCGGGGGGCATTTTTTTTGAGAGCATGATGCATGTATTCCATCATTCGGACAATTTCGTATCACCATGTGAGTTTCCATGCCATCTGATTCTTAAGGTTGCACTTCAACTGCATCGTTGCAGTGATTGAAGCCTGTCTCACTGTGCCGGAGAGTGCTTGATTACAATCTGGATCTGTTTGGAAGGATGTATGTTTCAGCAGTTGGCGTGCAGTTTTCGACTAACAGGATTACCAAGTCGGTAGTGCATCCCTTGGTAATATTCATGTCTGTCCTCGTGAAAGAAGGATTACTTCTTTAAAATCATTCACACGAGACAGACTTGCCTCCTGAAAATAAAAGTTAACTAGTGAGGGAGTTAGAAGGACGCGAGGAATACGAATACCTACACGTAAGGTCAACAGCACTTATGCAGAAATGCAACATTCTAGGACATGGTGCATATTGTTCAACCTTAACGTCCCCAGCTAGCCCCCCACAGGAACACACGTCATACCCTATTCTGGGAGGTCTAAACTGATAAAATAGCATCAAGCAATCTTATTTAATGGAACGTGCTCCTCCAGTCAAACTAAACGATACAAAGTAAGCAGAGGAGCAGCGTCTATCTCGGCAGACGAATAGGCTGCAGACGCAAGCCTTGTGGATGCTTGACCGGGTCACGGTTACAAGAGGCGCTCCTCACCTCCACATCGACTACGCAAGCCAAAGCTTGTACTATCAGCTCTGGAGACTGATGAGGGCTACGTATAGTACCCAGTTCAAATTATCTAATTGATTTGCCTGATCTAATTTGCGCCGATAAAGAAGGTGCCTGCTGATGCAAAACGCTTGGTCCAGTATGTAGGCCAACTTTGAATTTTTTAAACCACATGGCCAGTTGTTCTCGGTTTCCTTCACCTTTTCAGGCGTGCTGTCGCTCCGTCCTTGCTCCGAGCCTATCTCTATGCTCATCTTTGTTTCTAGTCAAACTGCGATATTTGGTATGTGGGTAGGGGTGGTGACGCGACAAGTTTGGTTTCCTAGCTGGTTCAAGCGGACTTAATGAGGCAGTTGAGACAGCCACTGTGGCCAACGGGGATTGTTTTTTGAACTGCAAGATTATCTAGTTACAACCTTGAGCTAGGATCCGCTTCGCAAGGGATTCTGCTCATTGCGTTTGTGGGGTTTGATTGCTTGCATCTTGGAAGCGCAGTGGGGACTTGTAGCGAGACTAGGCTCAAGCAGTAAGATCACAACCTGAGCTTCTGAAATCCCATGATGCCGACTCTACTTGGGCTCCCCACACGCCTAACGATGTCTAGGACTGCATGATTGAGTGTTCTTTCACTAACCTAGTAAATTGATCAACGTCGGCTTTGCTGCAATTCATTTTGTCCAGTTCTCTTCGCTGAGTCTGAGTAGCTACTCGTTGCAAGCGGCAGGCTCTACGAACCTGTTTGAACTACTACCTTGCAAACTTGAGTCATCTTGAGGACTTGCTAGAGTGTGCTGTATTTTTACGATATATTGTATCTCAGATACATCACTTGGAAGAGAGCTTTCCGTCTAAGTGATGTTTAGATCCTTGTAAGAATCTTGGTGGCTGAAATTATCACTAGTTTGGATATGGATGCTGGTCTCACTCGTGTTCGGGCCCGCTGCCAGGTTCATGCTTGTTAGTCAGATAATTTACCTTGATGTTAACTTACACGAACACAGGAATCTCATCTATGCGCACGCGTGATTTCTTGTTGAAGATGTACTGTATCGTTTCCCTTCCTTCAAAGCAGTACAATTTGAATCTTTACCACGGTCCCCATACTGCTTCGATGGTTGTCCCGGTCTTAACGACCAGTCGTTCGGACTGACTGCAGTACGTTGTGTCAGGGTGTTTTGAAAGGCTTAAGTTCTAGTGCTGGAATTACGGAATAGTTTGAGTTTGGGGTTTTGCTTGTGAGGAAATCTCGTCATTAATGCTGGATTGGAGTTCTCTCTTGACTCGGGGCTTGTTACAAAAAGCCCTAGTTACCGTGGCTTCAATTGTATGGAATCCGAGCCAACAGTATTTGATGATAGATACAATTTGGAAATGCTTTTCTTTGCCAGGCCATACTAATCTCCAAACTTTGGAAATGCATAATCTGATACTCTCATGTCCTCTTTTTTCTTACCATATCCGCTTTTATAAGTTTTTCACCCGATTATTGAATTTTAAGGCAAACCTTGGATCTCCAACAGAACGTTCGTCTTACTGTCGAGCTATTAGTGGATAGCCGTTGAATTGCAAGCTCTTGGGACGAATTGGGATGGAGAACCAAGAGGTACGATGACAGTGATGCTCAAGTTAACTCTTCTTCCTTGGATCGAACCCTTGATAGATTCAGTTTTACGTAAGTTGTCTCATGTAGCATACTCGGTGAGATAGTGTTGTGTATTGCCCGATTGGCACTTTTGTGTGGAATGGTTTCGCTCGGACTGGAGTTGAGGCGCTGTGACACAAGTCGAACTGTGTCATATGTGCACATGTGCAGGTGTTCACTTACTTCACTGGAGGTCCACCTCCTAATTGGCTGGAAAGCAATTCTTGGTATGCCCCAGTTAAAGTTGCCCCTGCTGAGACAATGCCGGTATGTCTTCTATCTGCTACTCATGCACTGTGTTCGTCTCCTTGCCTGTAGTCTCCGATGGTCTGCAAATGCACATTTTTGTATAATCGTTTCTGGGTATGTAAGTGACCAAGATGCCACTTGCTATAGTTGAATGGCATCTGAGAGTAGAAGCTTTTTCCTGAGGTAGGCAGCAAGAGCTCAGATATGGAGCTAATTGCTTCCAGTTTTTCGTGGAAGTGAATGAATGTATTGAATAGTTGATTAGACTCTGGGAATGGCAATTGTGCGTTGCAGTTGGTGGGACTGAAGAAGCTGGATTTGAAGGTGGGCATGTGTTGCATGAAATGCGCGGAGATTATTTCGGAAGAAATCAGAGAAGTACCTGGTGAGCATCAAAGTACTACTCAGATTGTACGAATAACAGAGTGGGAAGGATTAACTACTATACAGAGGAAGGATGGATAAGGATTGCCATTCATGCTTACGAAGTTCTATGGCATGTTGGTCCAAGCCACCGAGGATTTATGCTAGTGCTGTGCAGGAGTGTTAGATGTGCAGTGCGACTACTCCTCGAATAAAGTCACGGTGATTGGGAAACCATACCCACCCGACGTTCTGAAAAGGGCGAAGAAAATCGACAAAAAGGCACATTTCTGGCCTCCATCCCCACCAGCTCCCAAAGAAGAGGCGAACAAGGCAGAGGCGAAGAAGAAGGAAGTAAAGGTCGAGAAAAAGGAAGAGAAAGTGAATGAGGAGGAAAAGAAGGAAAAAAAAGAGGAGAAGCAAGAGAAAAAAGAAGAGGGAGGGGGAAAGGAGAAGAAAGAGGACAAACCCAAAGGACCAGCACCAGCACCACCTCCTCAAGCAGTCCAGTACCCTCCTTATGAATATTTGGTGTCGCGGTACCCGAGCTTCGACTATCATCCGAGCCAATCCTACAACCCTCTCCTGCCATACAACCCCTACCCCAACTCACGCCAGCTCTTCTATGACTGGCCTCACTTCCGCACAGCTGAAGGAGCAGAGGCCGCGTTTGTGCCGCCTCCAAAACCCGTTCCTTACCAGACTGTCAGCGACTTGTGGAACATCTTCCAACCGCCGTAATGGCGTGCAGTTGACGACTGTGGGTCTCTTCCGCTTCCATGCATCATCATCGTATTGGATGGCGGACTGACACTGGGTTCGCGTGCGTCTCGGAGGGGAGAGAGAATTAGTGATGAAGAGGTGCACTTACTCGCAGACCACCCTCAGCCAGCCAGTTAGCCAGCCAGAAGTGGGAGAGTCGGGGTGGCAGCATTCGTAGAGGTTCCAAACATTGGCTTTGATTGCAGCAGCAGCAGCTCTGGGGCCCATGCGGGGAGCCGCCTCACAACACATGCACCAGTAAGTGTAAGTGAATGTTGTTATGTAGTGTGTGCTGAGCTGGGACAAGCGGCAGTGCCCAGGGAGGGCTCCATCCAGCCAGCCATCCCCCGGCAACAAAACCACTCCCCGTGACCGACTCCTACTTTAATTTACTTTACTCTACTCTACTCTCTTAGTAGAGTTCGCCACGCCCCAGTAGCTAATCAGGCTTTGCCCCTGCAGCCGCAGAGTAGTCTCCAGATATCCGGAGCTGAGATTTGCTAATTCATTCTCTTCACGTGTTTACCTTTGCTTCATCTTTCAAACAATCCTATTTACAATCTTCAAAGAGAAATGGGTAATAGCAAAGATATAGCACGGTTTAGGTGCATCTTGAATCTTTATAGGGGAAATCTCGTCCAACTTATGAGTAAAAAATCACATGAAATTTATTTGTGGAATTCAAAAAAGCCTTACAATACAATCTCTATTTAAAGGACTATGCACCAGTATTTCCACAAGTCTCAAGAGTTTCAGCCTCATATAGTGCCATCAATGCTTAGAATGAGAATTGCAGATGAGATGTTCTCTACCTTTAGTGACAGAGAAGGAAGAAAAGGTGAACAGTTAGTATGGGTACTGCAAGAAAGCAAACACAAACGTGATATAAGATACAGAAATGGAGAGATACAACTTGTTAGTGCTCTCATTGCTGCATGTCAGCAGAATTATAGCATATTCTCAAATAACATACTTCCTGAGGTAATGTATGGAATTAATGTTAAGGGTGATGAAGTGTCCATTATAAGGGTGGTGTTTACTGAAGAGTACATAGTGTCTCTATTTGGAGGACTTCCTGAACAGAAGCTTGAAGTAAAGAAGTATCCAAGCATAGGAGGATTGAGATTATCATCTTTTGAATCAAGAGTCGAAGTGCTTTCTTTGATGACTAAGTTAAGGAGACACGCTCTATCTATTGATACCAGTACTTAGTGTTTGACATAGCTAGCGCATTTTATGCTTTCACATCAACTACACCTCCTTTCTCTTTGAGGTAGAAAGAAGTGTTATACATACACCATGATCGCGGTAGGCTGTGCAGTTTGTTTGGACAAGACGCAGTACTGATAAGTATGCAGAAAAAAAAGCTTTTTTTGTTGTTATCTATATCAAAGATAATCCTTGAATCTGATCTACAGCATCTATAGTATACGAGTTCCTAACTAGATATTGTCGTAGAGACGATATATCTTTTACTTTCATTGTTGGGAACATATCCTTTGACCAGTACTTGTAGGTATCATACAGCTCCTTTATAGCAACTATACTCTTGTTGCTCTTCTCAACATTAGCGCTCAAGAACTGCCCAAAGATATCATTAGACACACGAATTGTCTCAGTGCAGTCCTTAACTTCGTCAGGCTCTTCAAGACCATAAGTTAGATATTGCTTGTACTCTTCTATTACTAATCTCATGAATACAGGAGCAAGCAAAGGAATCTTGTTGGAGAAGTTAATATCCTTCAAGTGTGTTGTAAGAGGATTGTGAGATGGTTCTATCTTATCAACAAACGTTGATACGAATGGCATTACTCTAACTCTACTCCACACTGCTTTATCAAACGTACTCATCTGTAGGATCCTGTTGGCAATGAGTACAAACTTTGCTGTCTGAGGTATGATAGCTCCTTCTTCGTACAATCCTCTAATATAGAGACTATCATTTCCTGTAAGCTCCTTCATAACACCAAGGTTAAGTTTGTCACCTTCATCAGGCTCTTGAACGAGAGCTATAAGTCTTCCTTTAAGCATTGCTAGCTCGGGAGTAGCTGCTGATGATTGTACTCTCTTTCCCATAAGCAATGATGTTGGCATCTTCACTGCATAGTCTCCAAACGCTCGTTCAACTAGAGAAACCATGACAGTCTTTCCGTTGTCTCCAGATCCTGACCATATAGAAAATATCTTGTTCGCATTTCTTCCTTCTAAACATGATGAGATGAACCTCATAAAGTATCTTCTTATGTCTTCGTTAGGGAACACCTTTGCTAAGAGATCAAGAACCTCATTAGTTGCTTCTGAGTTGTAATCAAGTGGTACAAATGGAATCCTAGATTATGCTTAGAATCAGTATTTCTTCCCTTATTATTGACTTGCAGTAAAGAAGAGTCAACACGGCCTATTCTGTAGATCTTGCAAGAAAACTCTCAACAAGAAAGCCCAATTTGGGGTACTTTTAAGATGCTTGTAGAACATCTTAAAAGCGATATGAATCTTCCTGAAGACGTTCTATAGTTTACTATAGAGCCTCAAAGAATTGTACCACAAGTTTATAAGAATCTCTATTGGGCTTTCTTTTTTACAAAATTAAGAAGTTAATTATTTTTAGAAAAAGAAAAAAAGAAAAACATAAAATATAAATACTAGAGTATTTTAAATAATTAAAAATAAATTAAATTAATGTTATTTTGATTATTACTTTTAAATATAAAACTGAAAATTATTTATATTTTAATAATTAGTTTACAATTCCTTTAAAAAAAATATTACTGTGTATTTTTAAAAAGAGAATTATTGATTCAAGATGATCAAATTCTAAATTTTATAGTTGGTGTAGTTTTATTTGTTAGTAAATCTTAAAAAACTCATAAATAAATTATAATATTATAGAAGATTTTAAAGCTTATAGATTATAACAAATTCAAATTCAAAAATATATATATATATATATATATATATATATTTTATTTATTTATTTATACTTATGTAATTATATTTATATACAATTTAAAGTTATTACAAAAACTCAAAGTGCATATATTCAAAAAATAATATATATAATAATAAAAATAATAATATTTTATCTAATAATTGATTCCAACTTTTAAATCATCATCAAAGAATATTTAAAGCAAGCACAGAACTATTTTTTTCTATTTTTGAATACTTTATATCATAGTTAAAAATATTTCATTTATAAAACTATAAATGTGTTGAATAGTATTTAGATAATTAGATATATAATCAAAATTAATTTTTTTTTATGTAAAGAATTTTAATTATCAACATTCTTTCTAATAACACATATGTATATATAATTGAGATTGTAAATATAAAAAATTATCTTATTAAAAAAATCTTCTTTAGATATTTTTTCAATATTTTAAATATTATAAATTTCTAGTTAAACTTTGGTATTTATTTTACTTACTGTTATTTTAAAATGTAGATATTTTAGCAAACATGCTTAAATTAATAAAGTTGATGTTTTTACATACATGTTAAAAAATCCTAATATTCCAAAAATTTAAATATTTCATTCAAATAAGTTTTTCTAAACTTTAGTTATTTATGGTATCTTTTTTATAAATAAATATTTAATGTTTATTTTATTCTCAGTTTAAGAGCTTAATATATTAGAAAAATAAATTTAGGATTTTGATAGTGACAAGAAATCTTTAAGTAAAGTTGGCACATAGACTATGGACTTTGAATGTTGAATATGATTTTAACAACCCATGCACTTTTGTTGCCCAATGTTGACAATACAATCCTTTTGCTCTACATTGACTACCAAACATCTCATTTCCATTGGTCAGGGTAGATTGTTGCAAACCCAAACAGACCACTAGGTATACAAAATCTAATTAATTTGAAATAAAATCCACAAACAATATCATACAAATTAAACTTCACATAAAATTTTCTAAAAGCTATTACTTAAAAATCTAATATACCTTGCAATGTTAATCAATATCTAACATACAATAAATATATATATATATATATACAAAATGACATCATTGTTGCAATTCTAGCCCCATTTATCAGAGTGAAGAAAGCCGAAATCTAAATGTAAAACCCATTATCAAAGAGAAGATATAATAACCTTATCTCTATTTATCATGTTCTCACATGCAGTAGAGATTACACTTTTATTCATTTATTCAAATATTACAAATATAAATTGCATGCTTAGCATGAAAAATGTGACTTGAAATTGCACATGTATTGAATTATCTTGTGCATTTATATTTTAAAATATTAAACTAATTTAAACTCATCAGAGTACCTTAAAGATCCAATAAACTTTTGAAAATATTAGAACACTCCAAAGTTATTGCTCCTTAAGAAGAATAATATCAGCACCATTCACCATTACTAGTTCAAGAGCAACACATCGGCAAGAAGCGATCTCATATTTACTGCTCAATGTTACAACTATGCAAGAAAATAACACCACTTTCAACCAAATAACAAGCGATATCAATTCAACTGAGAAAGTTTAGACGTCGATATACCAATAAAGTTGCAGAATAAGTCATTTTGTGCAGAAAATAAAACACTGGGTGCAGTGTTTCCCCACCATTTTACAACGTCCGAAGCCTCGATATGATGACAGACACAACCCACATATTCCTGGTCTACTATTACATTTATTGAGCAAAGCGCAACACCTTTGAGCACACAGAAGTTAAAAGTGGCTGATGTCTTCGTAAATGGAATTGCGCAACAACAATTTAACCGGAAACCCACTGGGAACAGCACAACAAAAATATAGTTAAACACAGAAAGATTTTCAGGCATCATCAGGATCAAACATTGCCAACTTGGTACTTACAGAAGGCATCCCCTTGTACCCCAAGCAACCACTACCAGAACGTTTGAAATAGAAGATATAAGTTGATACACATGAGTACCTGAAACTAACATTTTGTAAAGTGTTTTCTTAGGGGAATACAACGTGCTACCTTTCAAACCTGCGCATTCTCTACCGAATGTTTCTTCAGTCTAATGTTCGTTCTCCTCACGAAAGTTAAATAAATCAAGACAACGAAAGGATCATCAATTACAACCTCAAATGCCCACTTGCAACCTAACCAATCTTATTTTAGTATTTGAATAGCCAAATAGATTATCCAATGATGTTAATTTTTTTTAAATTGTAAATGGTGATGCCAAAATATGTGAGTCGCTGAGCATACAGAAACGGAACAGCTTCTTTGCAAATTTTGATAAAAGATAATAACTTGATACGAGCTTTGGAGTGTTACATTATATAGCACGGGTGTTATAAGAGCCACATCCTCCACATTTGTGATATAACCAGTGAAAAGGTGCAGTTGCTTTTTGCTCACAATCGTTACATAGGATTTCCTGCATAGAATCAATACATCCAATGAAACGCTTCAGGATCAGAAAATTGCTCTCAAAAATTTGCTTAATATGATATGATCAAAAGTGATTTTCAACAGTTTGACAGAAATTCAATGTGCTGAGGGTTGACATTCATGTTACGAACTATGAACGTGACTGTCAGGTGACACTACTATCATTCATAGGTCATGGCCAAAATGTATACCTGATTTCTACTTCTATACTCATCAGGAAGCTGCTCAGATGCCAATAAAGCATCGAGCATACCAAAATAAATCTGCAAAATCAGACAGATATAATTAGACAATCGCAGACAAAAGGAATGATAAGATATTTACAACTTGATAAAAGAAAACTGGAAATCACAAAATTACAGGGTAGAAGTAATAATAAAGGTAGTCACAAGCATTTTCAGACAATAGTTCTTATATGAACAATAAATGCTTCGAACAAGGATCAAACCATACAATAATCTCAAGATTGACCAGATCCATAAAATCTGCTTACCACCATATCCCCTAGGGACTTGCAGCAGATAGGGCAAGTATAATGACTGCACGTATAGGCCTGCAAAATATAATGAACTCTTGCTTACGATACGTGACCATACACAATCAACGGGTTTGTCCAAGTTGAACTTTTTTTTGATGAAGGCAACAGATAGAATCAAGAACGACAATAAATCTAATGTCAGGTTTCAAATGGTGGAAAATTAGTAACAAAATATAATAACTTTAAAACAAGGCAATCTAAGTCTCAAATAAAAAAGATGGTCAGTTCCCGGGGTATATCGTTCAAACATTCACTAAATGAGATAGGTTGCAAATACTAAGAGTTCCGAGAACATCGTAGGCCCTAAAACAAACCACTGGACTAAAGAAGATTACTACAAAACGATCTGCACCTGGGACCTAAACCTGGTTTGAGTACACAAAGTTTTTAGTAGAAAAGGTCAGTGCACACCTTAAAGCAGGCGGAGTGCATGAAGTGACCACACGGAAGAGCTTTGACAGGCGTGTTGGAAGTGAACAAGAAATCATTGCAAATAGGGCAATTAGATTCGAGGCCTTTCTCCATGCACTTGTGCTCTTTAAGCTGCATAGCCATGCAACTGTTGCATGTCATGCAATGAAAAAAATCAATGCCTAAACCCTTACCAACACGGCAAAGATTGCAGGATGGGCAGTGATATATATCCCTGCAAATCAAATCAGCCAAATGTCAGGTTAATATCCCCAGCACTATCATACAACAGGATATTTATTCTGTGTGATTTGAATCGACACTAATTTTTGAATTGCGAACATTCTTGGAGAAGTGAATCGATTGAAGTCTAAGTTCTTACAGGATAAAAAGTGATAAGAGTCTTCACCTGTTGTCATTGTCGAAGAACTTGCAGATGTTACAAAAATAACGACCCATAGAGAAACCGTTGCATGACGGAGTGTTACAGACAGAAGCAACAGGCTGCACCTGCAAGCATTGCATGCACATCATCTCCTTCGTTGCATGCCTGCAAGAAACTGCCGCATTAATGTATATTGTAGATTATAGTGTGTGAAATAAAGTAAGAAATTGCACAATATCATAACTATCGAGAAGCCTTTGATAGTTGCGAAATTGAACAACAGGAATCTTAATAATATTGCTTGTACTTAAGCCAAATCAATCCATCTTTACACAACAACAAAAGAATCATTGCTGGATGCATTTCAAATCATCCTTCGCACCAAGATATAACGTCAGAAAACGATGAGCAAGAAGCCCTACACATCATTCATGGTCGAAATTACCTATCCATAGAGTGATCGCTGACTTTGTCATGACAAAAACGACATGAAAAAAGGTTCCCACAACAGGCAGCTCGGAGTTTACAGTTTCGTTTATAATGCTCACAACCATATACACCATTTTCTTCGTCCTGATAAGACTTTTTCCGACCAGGAATATCAGCAGGATTGTCCCCTTCTTGTATTAGCATCTCATTTGAAACCAATTGCTGCGCTGCTATCCACCGGCTGTGATTGCAACCCAATTTCGAACGATCAGGTCAAAATGTGAGAAAGTTCAGTCGCAAACATATATTTGATTGCGCACATCACGATGTAGAATGGTCCTGACAAACAAACGCGGGCATTTAGGATTGGATAAATTACCTAGTCATTAGATTTTGCATGAGATAGGCCTTCCGACGCGGGTCAAGAGAACTGTCACTAGAAACTTTCCGAATGGCTGCCTCCAACTCTATTTGATTCATCCTGAAGATATCACGCCATCCAGGTTTGAAGACTGCATACCTATTCGCATGGTCTGCAGTGGGTTTACTCAGGTTCGCTGCGTGCATATCTTCATCATCGGTGCCGCAAGTGTTTGCATGAACAGAATCTGGAACCAAGGATAAGACTCAAGGATTGATTTAGCATCACGGTTAAGTCCCAGCCTAAGTACTACTACAAGCTCCCCAACAAGAACGATTCGCAGAGAAAAGCATAATCTTTCGAACTCTCTTTCGACCAACCAATATCAATCAATGCCAAGATTCCAGCAATTGCAGTGAAACTAGGAACCTTGAATATTTCGATCATACAATATCTCATACAAACAAAGAAACGCATAAATCTATGAGACAAACCTGATTGAATAACGCCTTCATGATTGCAAGCATCTAATGTTCGAAGCTTCTCATCACCAGTTACCTCTCCTGTATCCACAACGCCTTTAGATAGGTAGTCAACAACCATTTGTAACGATTCACTTGTGCCCATGTGGGGAACAGAATGTTTTTCGGAGGACTCCACAGTGTTGCTATTAGACGTTGGGTTATTCTTCCACCAGGCCTGCAGCCATTTGTCAAACATGGTGTTGCGAGTAGCCTGTCTCAATGTATCCATCATAATGTTCTGCTCGTGCTCGGAGAGTGCTGTTGTGATCCAAGGCAACATTGACTGCAACAAGAGTGATGTGATATTAGAGTCTGTGGGATGCACAAGAAAAAAAACGCATCGATTACAAAGGAAACAATCCCTGTCAAAAACAAACATGAAATACATAAAATGTGCACAACTTTCGTACATACTTAAAAATTGCGTCGATGTGATTAATCGAAGTTAAGAAAGTTGCCAATTTAAAGCAGAAAAGGGAGACAGCCTATCCCAGCACCGTATCATTTGGATAAAAAACAGTAACTTAATGTAACTGATCCACGTAAAAGTAACAGCTATGACCGACTAAAAATACGAGTTGACAAGATGATGGTAATAGATATCGAGATTTTTCATTGAAATTTTAAGCAACTATGAAGGGTGGAATCAAGGTCATCTAGTTGCAAAATTAGGATCCTACATACCACCACTTAGGATATTCATGAAAGGTTATTCCGATGTCGAATATTTTAGCTCAAAAGAATCCATATGCGTGTGATGACTTGCTAAAGTTTTGTAAAAGTCAAAGCCAGGAGGATCATGTGCAACGAAAAGCAATATGGAATGGGATCTCTACCATGGATAGACAGAACACAACAACGATCAGCATTTCAGAGAGTGAGATTTCAAACGTTTATGAACCCGTATGACATGAAATAAAGAACTAAGCCATCACAATTTATATGAGTTCAGGTTAACATGCAGCTTACCTGCAGCACTTCGGCACCAGTAGTTCCAATGATACGTCCGACAATTTGATCCTGCTCCTCGATACTGAAATGAACATCAAAAAGAGGCCAGAGCTCATGCTCCTCCCTAGAAACATGATGATCAAGACTCACTCTAATGGATTTGCACATCCTTTGCAGCTTGCCGGCCAAAGCCCTTCGTTGAATCATTTCGGCTTTAGAAGTCTCTTTCTCCATGCAATCTTGTTTAAGCTCATCCTTACCATTTTCCATGTCTGATGTAAAAGTTGGAATTGCCTGGGTGTGCATACGCGTGTGCAGTGTAGACAGTTCCACAAGTACCTTCAACAAAGAAGGGTAAGTTGTCAGCTGAAGGACATAAGCTGGATCACACGACATAACGAATTGTGGGTAACTTTATTCTCATATGGTAAATTACCCAAAAAAATCATCTGGAATTCCATTTACCTCAGCAATATCTTTAAATAATTGCTCTTCTTGCTTGTGATCGATTGTGTATGAGTGGCTAACGTTATGCAGAGCCTCCTTTGCTTCAAGAGCAGGGAACACAATATCATCCTCAGCGTTACTATGCGCCCTGTACAGCCCCCACAGAAACTGAAACCTTCCCTGGAACTGCCTGAGAAAGTCTTCATCACAATCAGCAAGTTTAGCAGACTCAGAATCTAAGTACTCAAGGTCCTTCCTGATAGCCTTGTGGAACTGAAAGATATGGTCAATTGGCTTTGGTCCTGGATCACAAGTGGGACCTGAATCATTGACCCATCCAAAAAGTTCAGAGTTCGACGAACTACTATTCAAACTTGCTGTATACGGCTTTATGGCTAGCCCTGAAGGACGGGTGGTTAAACTACCACAGCCTAGCCCAGGGGCACAACATCTGGCAGCACCTTCACAACTATTTTTGCTCGTGGTATCCTTAGTTGGATAATCTATACTAGCGTCCTCAAATTCACTTCCTCGAGGACGTTTTGATGCTCTCGTATCGAAAATTTCTGGAGAGTCATCTGGCCCATGCACAGTACCCATATCTACTGAATTGTGTTTTGAGGGAATAGTTGACCCGTTTTGCATGTTTACGGGTCGACTCCCTGCATTAAATTTCATCCTCTTAACAGAACATTCATCTTGTGATGTAGAGAGACAGCGGATGCTTCCTGTACTCGAGAAATGTTTTGGATGCCCTTTGCATGCCCAGTCTGAGAACAGGGTCACAAGGGCATTATCTTCAACAGGAGCTGTAGATTCAAGAAACAATATGTTAGCACTAAATAAAGCTGATTTTCAAAAGCCTAAGATGGTCTCCAAAGTTTCGTCAATGATTAAAGGAAGAAGTCACAGCTACCTGCCAGCCGCAAGTTCTCAAGCATTACTTTTGTTTCATCCTCACTCAAGATGGCAACCAGCCACGGGAGAACTCGCTCGAGTAACTTTAAGGGCATTAGCCTCAAACTTCGGTATAATAAAACACGTTGTTCTTCAACGCTACAATGTGATTGTGGGTAATGGAGTACCTGAAAAGAAGACACAAATGGAACCTTCAGAGATGTTCACATGAAACATAATTGAAAAGGTTGTTGTACAGTGGCCCCGGACATCACTTGGTAAATAAAACTATTTTCAAATTATCATTCCTACGTTAAGAGGAAGTGAACTGCACAAACATTTCTCTGAACTAAACTAGAGACAACATTGTAAGTCGAGCTTGACGCTGGTTATCAACTCCTACTTATAAAAAAATACATAAAATCACCACCCGAAAGTGAACCTTATTCTCTATAATATCTAAGAAAGAGGACAGGCACTTGTAGTGCTTGAGCAACTTAAGTGAAATTTAAAGCAAAAAGAAAACTTTATACCTCCTCCTCCTCCAAAAGATGTTGCTGAATTGACTCCACAATAAGTTCTGCTCTCTTGCAAAGTTCGCTATGCAATTGAGCAACTGTTGCACTATTATTTACAGCATCCTGCACACCTTCAAGCAATCGAAGTACATCCTCAAATCTTCGATCTTTCTCGGCATGGTCCATTAGATAAGTCACCCGCTCCTGGACTTTCTTGTGTAAAGAAGGGCACATTAATTTATCCTCCGCCGAACTACCAAACCACTCAAACGCGTCAGTATTCAGACAACAGGTAACGTATTCAACTTCAGGACAAGAAATCTCATCCAAGGAAGCAAGTAGAAGCCTTGGCTGCAAACTAAATTATAGTCTTGTCTATGTTTCTTTCATAATTAAATTGTAATTCTATGGCTACAGGTATCTACCATACTGCAGACCAATGGGAGAAATTATTCTGTCAACATAAAAATCGAAACAGAAGGATCTCACCTTTGAAAATTGCACACATCAGCCAAGAACTGGGACCGCTCAATGAAAGCAGTTAATTTTGCCAGAGATAAACCCCCCCTGGGTTGAATTTGACGAGCTTGTTCAGCAATTTCTTGTAATTCTTTGCGAATTGCATTATGCCAGTAGAGAAGTTCCTTAAGAGGAGAAACTAATGGTCTACTTCTAAGTAGTTTTGGATGTAAATTCCCTTGGTTCACTGAGCTGTCTCTATCTAGAGCCCATGTCAAGTCTCCTGCCACCTTTGAGTCTATTGAAGCCCAAGCAACTGCTTTTGCATCTAGATCCGATCTAGGACAATTATAAGCATCTATTGCTCTATTTCCCCCTCTTAACCATGCAAGTATCACCTACACACAACAGCACAGGAACGAAACACCAATTAACTAGTCAACATCTGGTATTCTAATTATGAACAAGACACAAGAGAACGAAGCGCTCTCACCTATAATACGATGAACATGAAACGCCGTTAAGCATATCAGATGTATCGTAGCCTCGAGGATTAAATATGTTGTAAGAATGTCCTGCTCAACACTTCAACGCTTCCTAATGGCTTATTCTTACAGAAAGTACGGATCTATGCTACAGAGATGACGACCATAACATTTCATCACTGGACGAAGATTGTCTAATAACTTGCAGAAGCCGATTCACTTGCAACCATCACGACAATATGAAGCCGTGGCCATTAGCACTATAAATTTCAGTGATTACTTTCAAAGATCACCAACATTCATTATCTGAGAAGCTAGAAGTCAACTGGTGCATTCCTGATTGAAGTGCCTACAAGTCGGCCTTCAGATCCTCAACAAACATCAAATACACCTTGATTTTCCCAATATTAGAAGCTTCGGGACAGTGCAAAAAGACAGAAAATACCATATCTACGCATCATCCGAACATTAAGAACAAAAAACCAAAAAACCAAAAAACCTACAAAATCACCTTTAGCCACATTATCTTACTAAGTTCCTCGTGTGTTAAGGCTGCTGGACAAAACGAGTGACTAACAAAAACTAAGTTCGAAAAAGTTACTTTCTTATCTAACCTGCTGAAGCAACTCTTCTGGTGGAACGACTTCACGCATGACTGCCACCATCTGTTGACGCTCTTCATCTGAGAGAGAAGAAGCAAGCCACGGCAGGAACTTCTCCAAAAGGTTGACAGGAATACTGCAGATAAATTGCCAGACCAGCCCAGTCTGTTCCTTGTAAGTGAAATGCTGCATGAGAAGGGGAAATACCTGCATACGGTGGCAATTAATAAGCAACAGGACTGAATGAGATGTGATCTACCACCAAAAGCCAATCAAGCTCGATATATGTGTTTGGGCATGAACTTCTGAACCGAGAAAATGTATGCAACCAAGTTAACAACGTTCTTTAAAATTCTTCAAGGACCTTCTGCAATGCTGATCAAGCTAGCAAGCGTTGAAAAATAGTAGCCAGTTAAATCTTATCTATTATGTAGATGTAGGGACTTAGGACGGTTTGTACCTGTTCCTCTTCCTTTGCTAAATGCTGGCAGAGGGTAGTATGTAGGGCCTGTGTGCAGCAAACAAGATCCGAGTGCAGGGTCGACGCAACTTTTCCTTTTTCAGCCAAAGCAGCACTTAAAAGACTAGCTATCTGATCAAACAAGTCACTCTCCACCTTATGCTCCAGCGAGTAGGAGTGGGCTACATTCTTCACACGAGAATCGAGGGCAGGAAGTATCACCTGTTACAGACGCGATTTACCAGCTTCTTAATAAAGACTTACGCCATCGGAGCTCTGACAGAACAAAACTGGAGGCGGCTTCCACCGTAAGAGACTTCACCAAATCAAAGATGACTAAAAAATAAGACTCCGCATACAAGACTGCAGAGATCGGCAGTACGTATGTAAAGGAACGAGGTCATTCATTGGACGGGATTTCCTAGATTTTAATATCTCTGCAGAATGGTCCAACGGGAAGCTCTAGTGTGAATACCATGACTTAGGACCCATATCCACCGATCCAACGAGCTGATCAATGAAAATAAAGATGAGTTTCAACATGAGCGCCAAACTCTCATGATGGACTCTCCGTAGATAAACTTCAACAATGCGCGAAATCAAGCTAACAATGTAACAGACTGTTAAGCAGTATTATCTGATACTCGCAAATTACATTCGGGGAATCGCAAGGAAAAAACTAACCTCGTCTTCCGCGCTGCAGTAATGCTTGTACACTGTGCGTAGGAAAATATAACGATCAATGAAATTCTGGATGTCCTTATCTGTTCCATTCTCCACCGCCAGTGCATCGCGATGTAATCTGTCCATCTCAACACGTATTGCTTTGTGGAAAAAGACAAACTCTGTAATTGGAGACGCCAAGGGCACACAAGACGCGCCCATACCTAGCGCGGTGATTAATGGCGTCGGGACTGGCTGAAAAGTTTGAGGAAGAGCAACTGAGGTTGCCATTTTACGAGTCAGGAATGTGGTCAGGTTGCATTACCAGAAGCATATCCTCTGCATCTGCCTTTCTATGTTGTAAACTTATTCCGAGTGCAAATTGCAAGCACCCTCTAGGTACATTCGCTCGTAGGGCGGGCATTCTAATGTTTTAGAATGTACAACAAAACGCCCCAACACCCATCCTGCCCCCAAACTCCAGCAGTATGTAAACCCTCCACAAATTCTAGATTCAAACCTTTCGCGACATGGATGAACGTGAGGACAAAGGTATGCTCAGCTATGCAAGGTCAGAAAGTTGCTCATGACCTCAATTCGGCTACCCCTGATTCCGCAAGAAGAAGCGAACCACTACTACCTCTACCATAAGAGAGGTAACAGAGACGAAAACCGGGATTGCTCTCCCACGGAAGTGACCAGAACAAATAACATAGGGACATACGACACCAACGAACAATTGCGCATAGCCGAGAAAGAAGTCGCAGGTACAGGAGAACACATAAACAATCGACCTAATTCGGTTAATGGGAAGGGCAACTGTAGAGGAAGGGTAGGCGATAAACCAGAAAGGTGAAGCAATAGTAGGGAAGTGAAAATGCAACTGGAGACACGAAGAAATTCAAACGGAAGGCACATCGAGGGGGGGGGGGGGGCTTGTGTGGGGAGCATCAGAACAGCGAACGGGACGTCACAGAGCAAGAGCAAGAGGAGGTCAAGGAGGCGCAGACGAGGCACGATGATAAAGATAGAGATGCAATCTGAGCCCGATCCCCCAGACTCTACTCACTTACTTAACGTACTAACTTAACTTACACACAAAACAGACAGAAACAAAGAAAGACAGAAACAAAACAGGAAAGAAGGAAGCAAATAAAGAAAGAAAGACTAACTCTTCCCTCTCGCCATTTCCATCTTGGATGCACCTCGATGCTGTTGCGAGGACGATGATCGGGGAATAGCGCATGGATTCATTCTTGCATTCATTCCATTCATTCGCAGAGCATCTGGCTCTTCTTCTCAAGATTCCACTCCGACCAGTGGTGTGCGGATTGGCCGACGCCGTGTCGTCGTCACTTGGGCGAAGCGATCCGTCCTACTCGGCGCCGACGAGCCAGGGGTTGGCGCACACACTCTGCGAGGCGGGGCGAGGAGCGGGACGGGACGGGACGGGTCCGGGGGGAGCGGGAGGGGTTTCATCGATGAGACTCGACGACGGCGTCTGACACCCGGCGGACGAAGGAACTCCGTCCAGCACTGTGGTTCCGAACTTGGGAACGAATGACGACGATGGATGAAACCCACTCACTCAGTGCACCATCTCATTCATTCATTCTGTCCGTGAGACCTGTGCTGTTGGATTTCTTTTGTATAGTGATGACAGCTGTGTGTATCTAAACACAAAATCATGCAAGAATCTTAGACCCTATTTTACCCTAAGTCATTTAATAAAACGCTTCCTTTCTGTTACCAAGTTTGACAGATTTTATAACCATCTACAAGCATTTCACCCAAAAAAATCAAGTTTTTACACACTTGGCTTCTCCCAATTTCTACACAACAGATCAACAAGATCCCTTGTGTTTGTCAATTTTTTTCTACATGTATTTCTCTAAGACAACAATAGAGTATGTTTTTAGTGCCTATAATAGGTGCCTATTTTGTGATGGTTGAAAACTTAAAAGATTACCTACATCATCAAAATAGAAGAAGAAGTTTTGGTGTTATACCCTCTAATAAAGAATCTGGGTCTTCATTAAAATAAAATAATAAAGAAAAAGGAGGTGTATTTCTATAAAGAATGTTCAATTATGAATTATTGATTTCAAATATTTCCAATTGGTTGAAATAAAGATACATTATAATCCTAAGTTATACTTAAATTTGTTCCTTTTTTTTATTCAAATGTAATTCTAATCAAAGTCTTTAGGAACTCTCTAGTTTTTTTTGTTAGTCTACTTAAAATTTTTCTATCATAAAAATAAAAATAAAACCAAAAAGGCGATTTAAGTATGTTATTTTAATTTAAAATTTAGGTTATTTTATGTATCATTTATACTGTTTATAAATATTTTATTAGTAATAAATAAGAAATTATAATAATTTAATTAAAATTTTAGATAAAATTTTATAATAACATTTTAATTTAAAGCTTTATAGAAAAATCGGTTTTTTTATCATGTTAACATTCAACCATTAGAATATTATTTTTTCACATTAATAATTTTTTCTTATCTTTATTTAATATAGTAGAAGGTCTAAAAAAAATAAAATATTATTTAAACTATATATATTTAGATATACATATAAGTGCTTTAATTATCTCAACTTCTATAAAATTAGTCTTACTAAAAGTTGGATTATTATATTAAAGTGAAAAAAAAACTACATCTACAAGAATTTTATTTTATATAAACTTATTATTTGTAGTAGTATCAAATTAAAAACTTAGAAATTGTATAAATAAATAGTTAACAATAAAAAATATATTGATTGATATTCTTTGAATTTAAGAAAATATATTGTTTAAACTTGAAATTGTTGTTTTATATTATTAATATGAGATGTTTTAACTATTATTCATCAATTCTTTTATGTTTACATTTTGCAACAATATAATTATACAATTTGGTACTTAAAAGATATTAAATGGTAATTTTGGAAAAAATATATGCATATTTAATAGATATCTATATTACTTTAATATATAGAAGTAAGCAAAAGCACATAAAAACATGTTGCTTAGGTAATATTTGTCTTAAGAAGCTCCAAGGGAGTTTCTTAGGTAAGGATTACATATTTAGACTCTGATAGATATGCCATGTGGCTATTAAAACTTGTCCTACATGTTCTAATTTTTAAAAAGCCACATTCAAAACAACCTTCAATTTAATACTTGATCTGCAAGCCTTGTATTTCATAGAAAGCTTTGACAAGACCTTTTTAGTAGCTAGGATATATAGAATCAATACTTGATCTGCAAGCCTTGTATTTCATAGAAAGCTTTGACAAGACCTTTTTAGTAGCTAGGATATATAGAATCAATATGAAGACTATCGTCAAACTTGTCAACATACTTCATGAATTTTGGTCTTAATTTAATACTCTTTAAATTCTTCATAATTGGCAATAGTCATTTTAGTTTGTTTCTATCTTATATCTATTTTTTTATTTGTCTACTTTCTCTATTTGAGTCACACAAGAGTGTGTTGTTTTTTTAGAGTTTTATCTTGGTTCATATTATTGATAGCATTGCTTTTGTAAGTTTTGTAAGTTTTATCTATTATTTTTATCATTATTATTAAAAATAAAATAAAATATTATTAAATTATCTATATTAAAAATATTGTTCAAAAAGTACACAATAGTAACATCTATATGTATATTCAATGATATTCATATTATAGATAATTATTTAGATAAAAAATATATAAATTTAAAAATATATTATTACATTATGAGTGGCCAATATTATGTAATATTTATTGATTTTTTAAAATAGAAGCTCATCTAGCTAAAATATATTTAAATATATTTAAATGTTTAAAAAATATTATATACTAAAAATTATGATTTATATTAGACATCATTAAATAATAATCAGGCATTGTTATATGTTTGTAAATGCAAGTTATAAATCTAATTAAATAAAATTGAAAAAACAAATTTGATAAATTTTTTCATATTATAAACAATAATTTATGTAAGAGATTATATTTTTAATTATAAACAATCAAAACAAGAATTAGTGGCATTGTAAATTGTTTAATAAATTTCATAATTACAATCTAATAAAATTACGAATATAATATTAGCATACATCTATATAAAATAAAACAAGGTATGTGCAATAGAAAATTATGCCATATATCATGCATAATTTTATAATAAATTGTCAAAATTATGATATTTTGCATGATTTTAAGATGAAAGCAAGTTCTAAAAACAAAATCATACATTTAGAAAATATCATTAAAATATACATGCATACATAACAATTTTGTATAAGAAGAAAACGCAAGCAAGAATCATAATCTTGACAACATAATAATAGATCATAAATCTTGAATACTACATATTATCTACTAAATATGATAAATATAAAACATGAAAACTATAGAGAGGATAATAGACCCAACTATGTTCAATACAATCATATTCCAAGCCATCTTTCATTCTTTAATCTATACTTGATCATGATTTGATTAAAACTTCACAATTATTTTAAAGCAATTTCAAAGTAAAAATCAAACTTGAAATTGGCAAAGAATGCTCTCGACTCAAGTTGAAAACATATAATATGTCAATCTACTAATCCAAAAACATGTATAATAAATCTAAAATTTACAACATTGATAATTTATGCACCCATATGTTTGTGCTCACTAAAAGCAAATAGAGACAACATGCTATTCAACAGCCTCTTCACACCAAATATCAAGATTAGATTCATGTATTGTCATGCATGCCCCCAACTCTTGCACTCTGAATCACACCCACAAGAAGGAATTTAGATGCATCTAATTATCTTGCCGTAAATCCCACTTTCTACCTCCGTCCACACATGTCCACACTCTCTCTCTCTCTACTGTTTGTAAGGGGGGGTGCTAACTGTGAAATTGCATTCCCTTACATGCTCCCCTAATTTCACTGCGCTGCCTGAGTGGGACCTTTATCTGGGGAAGTGTCCTTGGACTCGATGTCCAATAGCAGACGCAGAAATAGTCGGTGTAACCGATTCTGCAGGCGCCATGCAGAGAGTCAACGTCGTGCCTCATCTCCACTGTCGTTACACCAGTGCGTTCCGAGTATTCTTGGCATGGACGGGAGTGCATCGTAAACTCCACCATACATGAATCGTCACATGTCGACTCTACATGATCGGATCGGCGCCCTGCAGACTCTTCAGGTCGCTCGGGCATCATTTATTTGTTCGAATTCTGAATTCCGAATTCCTCCGTCACGCGGCGAGTTTCATGAGTTAAAAAGAAAGGACGGCGGTCCTTCATTTCGAGGACTAGTGTTCTTGGTGGAAGAAGTTGTGAGGCCTGGGTACCATGCATTCATGACAAAAGACGAAGTTACCAAAGGTAATGTGTGATTGCTCAGGTTGCCTTGATCTGGAAAAAGTTACCAACTGGTTCAGCCCTCTTCGTAATCTCACGTTTGCCATCCACAGCTGACCAGCCTTGTGCAATGTGGTTAAAGCGCAGGTCGAAGAAGTCTTGCTTGAGTCCAGCTTGAAATGCCACTTCCACGACCCACTCTCTACTTTACGATCGACAATGCATTTTGCAAGGAAAGATGGATTAATTCTCATACTTATATTGAGAAAAATTGTCTGATCCAGCAACACTCCCTTGCCAGTTGCATCCTTAAGTTAAGACAACGAATTGGATAATAAATCCTAGAATCAGTCGGCAAACATCCATGTTGACCAAAAGTGCCAGCACTGAACAAGACAAATGGACCAAACCGAAGTCCAAAACCTTTCCAGCAGCACAGCATTGAAGGATATTCCAACTCTCCTCAACTGCTAAAAGGAACGAAAGCAACCGAGACGTGACACTGCTAAAATTTGTTTGGGAGTGCAGTTGCATCAGCTACCAAAAGCTTCTTCATTGCAACTTACCTGATTTCTCAGAGATCAAGTGTATACCATCATTTGCAATGCACTCCCCCAAACAAACACTGTTCACTAGTATGATCTTGATCGTTCAACTATCAAACAATGAACAAATAAAGAAAATAAACACAACACAACAATTGGTAGTGGGGCAAGCTGGTTACCAAAATTGGACAGTTCGCCAACAAAACGTAGTGCCAACTTTTAACTGAAGAAGCTCCTGTTGCAAACAAAATGACAAGTGTTCGTGTTGCCAGCATCTTACAGGCAATTCTCATTCAGCACGGATCAAAAGGCATAGCGTCTAGCGCACTGTAAGAACATAAAGATTGAACTTTCCTATCAGCATTATACTACAATGTGCGTAGCACACTTGCCACTCTGCTCACAAGCGTCAAGCGTCACATGATATCTGTAAATTCTAGTGCAAAATTTGAGAAGGTGCTGAAGTGGCAGCCTCCTAAAAATATTGGTTTCATCCCTATGTCTAAGGACTTCATTGTTTAATAAGTGTTAATATACCATCTAGCTCACAGCTAGCGTGAAATTTGGAGCAGATACCTGAACCTCATCTGTTAAGGCCAGAACCAACTCTGTAACAATTCAATCCAGAAATACAAGAGAAGAGGGCCATGCATTCCCAACACTCGTGAAAGGGTTAACATTCAATGCGAGCAGCTCCATTCTGGGACGACACAAACTTGGGCATCCGTCGGAAGTCGGTGATACACTGAACCACGTCGCCAACCTGAAAATTGACCCATTCTTCCACTATCATACCACACTCCACTCCTTTCGCCACCGTTTCCACATCCTGCTGCTCTCTTTTGAGCGATTGCATGAGACCTTCAAACAGAACCTCCCCACTGCGCAACACTCGGATCCGGGCTGCCCTTTCTAAGCGTCCATCTAACACTCGGCATCCAGCAATTCTTGTTGCCCCCTTTCCAGTGCGTCCTTTGCCCTTCAGCTCGAACACGCTGAGAACCTCAGCCTGACCTGCTACTTGATCCTCTTTCACACCAGGGGCCATGCCCACAATGAGGGCCCCTACTTCCTCCAGCAGATGGTAGATAACACGGTGCTTCAAAACCTTGACTTTAGCTAATCTAGCTGATGTCTCAATTGCAGATCCCATAGAGCCCACATTGAACCCAACAATATGAGCTCTGGTACTCGCGGCAAGGTCAATGTCAGATTGAGAAACCGGTCCTACCCCCGAGTGCACTATATTCACGTCAACCTGAGGACAACTGAGGAGAGTGAGAGATTGGCTCACTGCTTCGGCAGTACCCTGAACATCCGCTTTCACAATTACGGTCATTTCTCGCCTCTCTGGAACGACAACTTCCGCCCCATCCTCTGCAACAGCGGCAGCGGCAGCTTCGGCGGCAACGACTCGTCGCTTCAGCTGCCACATGCGCTTCTCCTCTAATCTCGTCCGCCGAACCTGACTCAATTTTCTCGCTCTCTCCTCGCTTGCTACAATCTGAATGTAATCCCCAGCTTCTGGAAGACCCCGCAAACCATCTATCTCAACAGGTGTCGAAGGCCCTGCAGATGTAACTGTTCGCCCAAGCATATCTTTCAGCACACGAATTCGTCCCCACTGCGTCCCTATAACAACAATTGCACCAGGAACAAGGTTTCCCGAACGTACAACGACCGTGGCAAGAGGGCCGCGGCCACGATCAACACGCGCTTCCACTACAACCGCGTGCACTTCATCAGAGGATGAAGCCTTAAGCTCCATCAACTCCGCTTGGAGCAGCAGTGCCTCTTCCAACTTCTCAAGTCCCGATTTCGTAATCGCAGATACTTCCACCACCTGAACATCACCTCCAATATCCTCAAGCTCGACACCATGAGAAGCTAGCTGTTGTCGGACCCGGGCAGGGTTTGCCTCAACTCTATCACATTTAGTCAGAGCCACGACGACAGGGACACCAGCTTCCTGGGCAAGAGACATAGCTTCGAGGGTCTGCGGCATGACTCCATCATCGGCAGCCACGACCAAGACGACTATATCCGTCACAGCGGTCCCGCGCGCACGCATAGAACTGAAAGCAGCATGACCAGGAGTGTCAAGAAACGTAAGGGAAGAGCCCGATGGCATGGCCACGACAAATGCTCCCAAATGCTGCGTAATACCTCCAGCCTCCCGCGCCGCCAGAGATGTCTGCCGGAGGGCATCCAATAAGGTGGTCTTCCCGTGATCCACATGCCCCATAACTGTAACCACGGGTGATCGCGGAAACTCTCCGCCAACGCTCCCTTTCTGATTCAGTACTTTCTTCACACTCATCCCATACTCTGATGCCACGAGCTCCGCCGCATCAGCAGTCACGGCTTGCGAAACAGGTTCCCCAATTCCGGTCAATACAGTCTTGACAGCGTCCACAGACTGCCTCACACGAGCCGCTAGTTCCGAAACAGACATGCCATCAAAAATTTCGACAACAACATCCTCTTTCTCTTGCTGGACTGGAGTTACGGCAGCTTTCGATTGCTCACCCTTGTCATGCGGTTTCTTGCCCTTATATCTGTGCCCTTGAACAGAACCTGACGGGCCTAGTTTCGCCTTTGCGGAAGAAATCGCGGATGACCTAAATGCACGCGTTCCACACTCAGCCCCCGGAATTGTGCTCGGGATACCTCTCCCAACCAAACCTACACCAACTAGACGATAATCCAAATCTATAACACCACACCGGGGTCCATTCGTGCCCAAACGACCCGATAAAGAATCCGAAAACCTTTCCAAAACCCTAAAGAAGGACCCGTCCCTCAAACCCGGCGCTGCTGAACAACGTTCACAGGTATAGCCCCCGACGACATTGTCTCCATGGTCACGATGCAACGTGCAAGCAGCAGCAGCATCCTTCGAATACGCTACCAACGAGCTGAGGCATTGTGGCAACGGTTGCGCGCTTGAAACCCGATCGCTTCTAGATGACTCCGCGAGAGCTCTGGCCAGGGAAGTGGTGCGGCGCCACGAAGAAGGCTTGGCCATGGCTGGGATCAATAGAAAACATGCCCAGGGTCCAGGCAACGGTAGAACGTTGTTAAGCTCTGCACTCCGCTGGGTAAGCTGAGAGTTCTACTGCCATAGCACTGGCCATCGCCGCAACAACTGGTAGTGCTACTGAAGCATCGATTGCGGTGCACATGAAAACACAATGATGCGCGCGAGGCTCCGCGATCCCAGCCCCGCCAACGCCCCTATGACCGCGCCATGTTCATCCCCATCCCCGCTCATGGATGAACGTGGCGGCCTTCTACTTCAGCCTCGTCCTTTCCTTTTCATCCTTTAAGGAGATGTTCATCCAGATAGCTAATTGCAGGCTTGGGGTGTTGTGAAGTTATAAGAAAACAAATAAATTAAATTTTAATTTTAAAAATGAAAAATGAAAAACAGAAGGTATGTGCCTTCTTCTACTCTTTTGATGACATTATTATCTTGAATGTACCTTCTCCTTTGTGTTGCTACTTATAGTGGTCTAGGAGTGTTTTGAAATAATGTGGTGTTCTATAGACTCACTAGAAGGGTAAATTTTCTAATGGGCTTGCCTTTAGTAGAAGGAAGTGAAGGGTTCATCAGAGCAAGTGATACAAAAAAGTGTAATTTTCTCTTTGATAAGAATCATAAAATTAAGGCCAAGGATTTTATTTTATTTTTCTTTCCATTAAAAATCTCATTTCAATTGCATGCTTCTTGCCTTAAAATGAAGTTTGTAATCTTGCATATTGTACCGAGTTTGTAATACAATCCATAGCCTAACAGATTACTAAGAAGAAAAGTTTGAACAAAGAGACAATGAATAGTTTTTTTTTTGAAGACTTTGTTTCTTGTGGCCTATGTCTTCAGCAGTTTCTTTTACTCAAAAAACTAATTGAATAATTTAATAAGGAATTTATTGTTTGACTATTGTTAGCTTAGTATGCAATATAAAATTTGTGTTATTTGTGCACTTAATTAAGTATTGTTTGTTCCATATTTTTAAAGAATGGTGGTAGTTTTGAAACAAGATGAATTTGAGATTTAAGATTCAACACATTTAAGATTCAACATATTAAACAAGAAATTTGGCAAGTTATTAGTAAAATGTTTACATACACATATGTATATAAAACTTGCTTGTGGATTTTGAAGTAGAAGCAATTACAATTTAAAACTAAATTAGATAATTATAATAAAAAACCAGAAATAGAATTTCTAATAATAAATGTTGTGTCCTACATATCAGATATAAGTAATTGGATGACATATATGGCAAAAACTTTGTTAGCTAAAGAAGAGATTGAATAACTCAATCATTTTTTTGGAGCACCAATATGTACTGTGTTATATATTTAGATGCTTCATAATTTTGCTTCCTATACAAAAATATTTACTACTATGATTTTGCTCTTTCTAGTTCTTGGTTCTTTAAGAAATACATATAAGTCAATCAATAATTAGGATAAATTTTTTTTATTTTGTGCAATACATTGTTGTTATTTTGCATGTTTGTTTATTATTATCATATTAATTTACAACAATTATGCCCATAGATGATCAAAACTAGTAAATAAGCCTATTTTGACGTGACTGCTTTTTATCTACATTATCACCATTTTTGTATTTAAAAAATCACTGAATGCCTTAGTTCTTATTATCATGTCACAAAAACCTTCAAGTAAATCAATTTTGTATAAGTGAAAGTATCTTTATTTTGAATGAATAATTCAAAATCTTCACTAATAATATTGCTATATAAATTCCTAAACATAAAATCCAAAGTTTATAAATTTTAATGGAGAATATTTTTAATTTCAAATTTAAATAATTAAAAAATAAAATTTAAACAAATAAATAGAAATAGATATTATGTTTGAAAAGCCACATAAAATTGAATAGAAATAAACTTATAAAATTACCATATTTAAAAATTACTATGATATGTTTTATTTACATATTTTTTACTAAATTAATTATTATATTAGAAAAAAAATTAAGCAACATATGTTTGTATGTAGCGTCAAAAAATCCCATTGGCTAGAGTAGTGGAGGCATCGATTGCCAAGATATATTGTGTATGTGTGTGTTTTTATTAAATAGATTTTAATCTTTTTTTTTTTTTTTTTTTTGCAATAAGGGACACTAATTGGTTGCCACGGTATATAGTGTTTTATTTTTGAACAATAGTATCTAAAGTAGTCATATTTGATTATATATATATATATATATATATATATTAGAATTAAAAGAAATTTAAAACTAATTAATAATTATTAAAATTTCAATTAAATAATAATTACTATAATATATATAAGAGAATATTAAATAAATCAATTTTTTTATGAAGTAGATCTACTTTAGATGAAATACATAATAATCATGATGAATGTGGTTGGTTTTTATTGGTTGTAGTTTGCATGGTCATTTCTTCTTAATATTTTTCACACAGACTCCTCTAAATTGTACCCATTCCCATCTAAGTCACAATCTCTTCGTGACCTCTTACCAACACTTAAAAATCACACCAGCATTGTGGAAATGTCCTCCTGCCAAGTCAATATATATACATATATATATAAAAAGCAAATGGTCTTTGGACTCTCCTGTAACAACACCAAAAAGTCACAAACATAAACTTCACTTAATTTTGAGCCAACATCAAATGATTAGTTGACCCTTAAGATCTTCAGTAATTCTCATCTGAAAACCAACCTTAGTTCCCTAGACATCAGACAGACATCTCTTTGATTTAGTAAAGCTTCATGAACTAAGAAACTACAATAAATTCTTCCACCCCTCAAGTGACTTCCTGCTGTTGCAGAAGCACAAACTTAGTGGAATGACAGAAATTCTACCCCATACTTGGAAATGTGGAGTTTGATTACAACATGACTTAAAACTTTAGACAAAAATTCCTCAGGATGTGGTAACGGCGTTATCTTCAGCCTTGTGAAGCATTCTGAAGCATGTGAACTCTTGAACATCTATTCCCTCAATGTTCAGTCTTGTTTAGTAAGGATCGGAGTGTTGAAGATCTCTGCATATTTTGATTCATCTGAGAGTCCTCTACATAATCATAGTTTGCAATCGTTGCCGTCAAAAACATGCTAATTTTCCGACATCATGCAGTTGTCGTGGGAATGATGAGGCGAATGTCCATGCGGACTGCAAGACTCTTCGTGGCCTGTGTTGCACGATTGCCGCACCGTAGAAGCAACCAGTTGAGTGACGATCCACATATTTTGGTTTCATGTCCTCATCATTTGCGAGTGCTTGGAACTACATACAATCCACACTCCAATCAGTTCCGAGCTCCCCCACAACTCGTGGTATGATTTTGTCCATTGCGTAGCTCATATTCCGAGACAAATGAAAAAGAGAAAAAAAAAAAGAAAAAGAAAAAGAAAAAAAGGCCTCAGATGTGAAGTTGATGACTAGCTTGAATCTCGGCCACGCTTCCCTAGAACACTCATAGCGTTTTGGCCGCCCAGATTGACAAGCATAAGCACTATCGGCGATAGGATTGGCAAAAGAACCTCATTAGGGCGGCTTTAAAGCTTTCGTGTTCACAGAGATATCGTTGATTTACGAGCTCATCACGTTCAGACGTAACTTCCGATGCTTCTCCTTCTTGACGCGAGAATGCAGCTAATAATCATGACATGAGGTTCAGGGTATTCTATATATTAAGAATGCTCAAGGAGACAAGTAGTGGTTCTGGATGGATGGTTCTAGATGGTTGCATGGATGGGTCAAAGTTCATAGGTCGTTTTACAGAGTTCACAGGCTGTTTTACAGTGTGAGTGCCTTCATGCACTCATTTGGTCTTTGTTATCAAAAAAATGTTCACGTTCTGTGGAGAGAGAATGTGGCTCTCATTCACTGCATGGTCTTTGTTATCAAAAAAATGTTCACGTTCCGTGGAGACAGAATGTGGATCTCATTCACTGCATGCACCCTCTTTGTTTTCATCACAAAAGGTAATGTTGTCAAGAGTTCACAACGGCACGGGTTCATCAAGTAGTGGTTTTCAATGGTTGCATGGATCAGTCTTCGTTTTCATTAAAAAAGTTAACCTTCTCTGAAGTTCACAGGGCGTTCCATAGGGCGTTTTACAGTTGATAAAGGCGTTTCACAGGGCGTTCTACGTTGCTGGCAAGTCCTGACGTAGCCAATCATACTCTGTGCATTTATCTGCACATGCAATCCTGTGAATTAAATAAAAATCCGAGGGAATACAAGGAAATACAATACTTGTAATGGTTGCTATTGTGGTAGTCAAGGAAGCATAAATTTGGTACACTGGCAGTCAGCTCCTTTCGTAACACATTATACACTATTTTTCCCGTTGTTAGGAGGAATATTCAAACCCTTGATTAAGGGGGCTGTTCATGGTCAACATGCCGGGGTTGACCCCCCCCCACCTCCAGTTACGTTTCCATCATGGAGGATGCAAAAGCAACTCCAGAAACGGAGCTCTTGGGGACTTGGACCACCGAAGCAGCCCACCTGTTGTGGTGGCTGATGTGCAAGCTCAAGAGTCGGAATCATTTGGCGCCTCTACACCTAAAAGCGCTAGTGTCTGTCTAGGATAACTCCACTCCCCTATAAAGACGAGGACCACATTAAACAGCTAGTTGTGATTGAATCACCCTGTAAGTCCATAGATCTACTACATTTCTTGTGCACGCTAAGAATCTGTGGTCTATAGAGCTTTTACCAAAAATTCCAGATTCATGGAAATATAGTTAGCCTTGCATTATGTAGGCAGCACATCATCTTCGTTGTTTTAATAAGCAAAGTACAGCACCTACTGCAGCCCAACAGGTCAGTTAACAAATTAAACTGCCCGATAGTGGGACGCGGAATTCGAATACGACGTGGGTAATGTCGGAGTTCTGAAATTGACCTGATGTATGTCTGGGTACGGAATGAGTCATCGAATGTATCCAATCCTGATGAATCACTGCGAGAGAATGGCTTGAGCGATGACCAGCTACCGATCTGATGAATAAAAGGCAGCTTCTGACTGAAGCAGGCACCCTTTCATCAAGAGATCATGAGGACTGTCCTCAAATGACACACATGTATATACACGCAAGGCTCAGCATTGCAATGCGCGAATAGAGAAAGGAATATGCTCTAGCGTTTTTTTTGTGGGAAAATTGAGTACTTAGTAACGCTGAAGTGCGCGCCAAGGCAAAGGGACGGATTGCTTGAAAAGAGGGGAGACTGGTCTTTCCGAAAGGAAATGCATAAATTGGCAGTGATAGATATCCACTCCAAGTTGTGATTGCTGACATGATTGCTGTGTGCAGGCGCAGCGATCACCAAATTGATTACAACATCATCCACCACGTCGTAATCGACCCTGAGTATTGAATCCACGATGTCAACCAAAAAGATTCAGAGCTGTTTGGTGTTATTTATGGTGCTAATGAGGTTCTCCAATCCTTTCGGTAAGCTGGTCATTACTTCGTCTTTGCCACACTGTTTTATAGTTTCGGGAGCTGCAGTCTTTGAGCCTTGGGAATTACGATGTTGACGGGATGTGCAGATCCAGTTGACGCAGCAGAAGCTTTCTACGCATTTGGCGATTCGTTTGTCACCACAGGGAATGGAGGCTACATGGGGCCACCCTATGGTATGACATGGCCAGGATACCCCGGTGGCCGAGCCAGCGACGGCCGCAACCAAGCCGATTACTTCGGTGAGATGTTAATTCAAGCTTCTCTGCGAAGCTAGGAACTAATCAAATAAAAAAAACATATCAAACCTCTATCCAACTCCTGTGAAACACATACTGTAACAAAAGATTGTTAGATAAGCAGTAATTTCGTGATAAAACACTGTGTGCCAAGATACATTCTCACAATCTGTACTGTGCAAACTGATCCATCTCCCAGCGGAGCTTTTTGGCGTGCCATACCCAACCCCTTACTCGCAATTGCAGAACGCTTCTGAAAGCAAAGCGGGTGTAAATTTTGCCCAAGGCGGAGCCGGGGTCACATACGCATTTGGCTACACTCCGCTTGACACCCAGGTGGACCAGATGGAGGCTTTGGTGCAGAGTGGCGCGCTGTCCAAGCTTCACCTGGGCAAGTCGGTGTCGTTAGTGAGCCTCGGAGTCAATGACTACGGTTCTCACAATGCGTATGGTACCTTCAAGGAATCAGAATATGCAACGGAGATGAAGACAACCGTCACGACGGTGGTGGACGGAATCGCACTCAATCTCGCGCGCCTACACAGCCTCGGGTTCCGCAACATCATCGTCGCAAACCTGGCATCAATGTCATGCTCTCCCTACATCACAGTGCAGTCCAAATACACCTCCTGCAGCCGCAACGCTTCGCTGGCGTTCGAAACCTTGAATCACAATTTACTGCTGGAACAGCGAGTCAAGCTGCTCAACCGGCAGCTACGAGGGGCGCATTTCGTGATCGTGAACCAAACCAAGGCTTTCGAACACATCTTCCACCACGGATCCCAATACGGTACGCTGGACAGTAGCTGGGCAAGCAAGAGATTGCAGTTCCAAGGAGGGGAGGGGTAGTCCATGCAGGGAAGTATCTCCGAAGCGCTGTGCCTGATTGACCTTATTTGCTGACTATTGCTGCAGGTTTCGAAGATGCCTTGACACCTTGTTGCACGGGGATTAACGATTCCTACGTGCTCAATTGCGGCCATACAGACAGCGAGGGACGCCCTCTGTACAAGGTATGTGCAGATGTCGCGAAGTCGGTAATCTTCGACGGCATTCACCCGACTCAAGCGGCGTGGAAAGTGGTGATCGACCTGTATGTTTCGGTGCCGGGATTCACCGCTTTGGGTCCCCCGCTCCACTCTTGGATCAAGCTGCACCATGTGTGACTGACCCCTCGCCGATCCTCCACCTCCCTCCCTCCTTACCACTTCTGCTTCGACGCCGTTGTTCCTGCTCCGTACCGACACTGCCAATGCTCCGCGTCAGGAGTTGACCTGCTTCCATCCCACAAATCATCTTCATATCAGAGTTGTAGAATCGAGAATTCCTTCATTGTGCGATATATCTATGATCATATGTTCCCCCTCTCTCTCTCTCTCTCTCTCTCTCTACATATATATATTTGTGTGTGTGTGTGTGCGTGTGCGGAAACACACCACTCTGCAATGGAAGAGAATGAAAAGTATCCCAGTGGACCTTTCTATTATTTTCTTTTTCTTTTGCTTGTTTCGAGGTTGATTAACTGCCAGAAACACATTTTTGAAGCAAGTCCAAAAGCATACCAGGAAGGTATGCATCTAAGGTATCATTAACAGCTAATACCCCAGTATAAGAAACATCAACTTTAGAATATGATCTAGGGACAAAATGTATCTTGGGCTTAATATCCTAGAAAAGAATTTTAAAACAGATATGATTCTTTTTATGGTTTCCAACCTATGCAACCTAAAACGAATTTTCTAATTTAGCTACATCACTCAAAGTTTTAGAATTGTAAAACCTAAATTCAATCTAAAATATTCAAGCCATTTAAAAAATTAAAATTAAAGGCAATAGCTCTTACTTCTTTGGGAAAATGATGTTTTTAAATGATTGATGTTTATAAATGAAATTAAATAAATGTGCAATTTTGTAAAGTTGTCCACAAAACATGAATAATTAAAAATTAATGTAAAATATGATAATTTGGTAAGATTTTTTATTCTTCAATAGATTCTATGTTGACATTCTTTCAATGACTTTTGTATTCTTCTTCATTATTTTTGTACAAATTCAAGAAAATATATTCTTAACTATTTTTTTACCTCAAGCACATGCAACAATCATTGCATTGTAAAACTATCATTCTCTATTAATATACATGTATTCTCAAAAATTTACACATAAATTTTTTTCATGTTTCTTTCTAATAACTATTAATAGGATATATATATATATATATATAAATTTCTTAACAAGTTTAAATTTTGTCCTATCAAGAAACCACTTTAAATTAGAAAAAGGTTTAAAATATCTAATTTAGCTTATTTTAGGATTCTAGCAATATTTTATTCTAAGTAAACTAAGAATGGATGAAAGTCATCTATAAAGTTGTCCTAAAACATCTATGTCCATCAAATTTGACAAGACATGAGACCCATTAAGATATTTACAAACTGGTTGTCATATAACTTGATATACTTAGCTTGGGCCACAAGGCTAAGTTTATACAAAGCGTATTACTTGAATAATACCATCAATAGCTACCTTGACCATCCTTGTTGCAACACCAAAAAATTGCCTTAATATTGTCTACTTGCTATTTGTGCTAATACCATTAAGTTATGTATTTTTCTTTAAAGTAATAACATCCAAAAGTTTCAAACCAGTAACAAAGTTGACTTTTAAAATATAAAGTGCTTTATTTTGAGCAAATGTCAAGAGTGAGCAAAAATGCCCATTGGATGCACAATATCTCTGTAATCTTCTATAAGCTCACAACACATACCACTTTGACAAACAAAGTCATGTGATTTTTGTTGCATCTATTGAATTAGCTTATGTGCAACACGATTTTGGTGATAATCCTAAGAGATGTGCCATCATTTGAAACAAAGCTCCACATGAGACAAAAAAAAAATGAAAAGATTTAATCTCCACCTTGTGTGCTTCTCATTTCAGATCTTATTATTGACCAAACTCAACATAGTCAACTTTTGCATCTTCAAAGAGCTTAAAAATTGAAAGTGCTTATTTATGTTTTAAATCAAATTCCTTGTCATTGGCATTGAATAGCATGACACCAATAATGGCATCCACAATGTCCCGATTGATTCTAAACATGAGTACATTCTTATTGTTGAAATGAATTATGAGAGTATTATTGAAATTCACTTGGTCAAAGAACAGCTTCTTCAAAGCATCAAGAAGTGTAATTTACTTTGCCCATGCCTTAGCATGTTGCAACTTCATATGTACCATGATGTTGTCAACATAAAATGGAATTGTAAAGATTTCATATTTATTGTTTGCTTATACTTTTATCTTGTGAGATTGATTTTTTTGCAGCCCAGCTTCTCACAAAACAAGTAGCACACTAAAATAACTTAATTTGTGTTCTCATCTTACGTGTCAAGCGCAAAGCCAAATTTTATCCTTATAATAGATTTTCAATGTGTTTGCAGCTCTTTCATCATTGTAAAATCAATGTGCATATTCCTTTGTGTCACTAGTATAAGTACACATTGCCTTCTACTAACATGCTTCTCTAATTATGTGGGAGAAGACCATTAAGGCCATATTTTAGGACATCTTCCAAACCTTATTCTAAAGAAACTAGGAATTTTTGCCAAAAAATCCCAATTTAAACTTGCTTGCCTATCATCCTAATCTGTGCATTTGTTCCTTTACCACAAAGCATATGATTTTTGTTGACCACATGATTTTTTTTTCTATATAAGTAATTAAATTAATTTATTTAATATTTTTTACTAAGACTTGTCAAGTAATTTTTTTGAAATAATTCTTTAATTTACATAGATTTGATTATTTTAAATTTTATTAAGATTTGTGACTTAAGTTTGATTAAATATTAAGTTAAATGTTAATTAAGATGTTAAATAAAAGTGATGGAATATTACATTTTAACATAATAAGAGTTTTATTTTTTAAGATATTAAAATAAATTATATTTTATAAATTATATTTTTTAATAATATATGTATTTATTTGTAATCTTTTAAATAAAATTTTTGCTTCATATATCAATAGTAAATTTAATAATTCAATTAATCTAAAAAAATTATTTAATAAATAATAAATTTAATTAAAGTTTTATATCTAACTTGAAAATTTAAAATATTATAAGGCATTGAAGAATAACATAATAACTTCATATGCTTTTTGTAACTATGTAATATCTTTACAATAATAAATCATCATTATTTTCAATAAAATCAACTTGAAAGTCTCATTTCTTACAAATTAGTCATAAATCCAAGTCTAGACAAAGGATTTTGTTTCTTATGTACTTCCTACCTCATAAGCCCAAGCTCCAAACAAGCAACAAAACATGAGAGCATAACCTTTTTCTGTGTTATAATGTTTGGTATACTACACTATAACGTCTTTACAATGCATGTCCTTCCTAATTGATTTCCCCTTTATGGATGATCAAACCAGTTGAATTCATGGGGGTAGTTTTTCAATGGTCCAGCTAATGTTGATAAACTATACGTTGCTTGTTCCTCGCGTTCTACCCAGTTGTTGCATGAAACTAGGCTTTGCTTTTTCTGCTACTGTTGTACTTTTGATACCATCCTCATGAAAATGACCACATCGAGGCTACATTAGGTCAAGCCCAGCAACAGATTGACTGTTTGTTTATTTTATAATAATAATAAAAAAAAAAATTGGGATTGTTTGCTTGTCTCAGTCATTGTGGGCACTACAATTATTGCTGCATCACACTTCAAGCAGAGAGAGTAATGAGAGTTAACATGTGCCTCTGCTGCTGCAGTGAACGCAACATTAGGAATGCTGAAGATAGTTATAAGTTAGCCATGATTTCGACAAGCTCACCCAGGTAAATTTACCGACTTTCTCCTCGGGGACCGCACATGTGGCGTGTATGACAATTGCAGAGATGCAACTCCTGCTGCAAAGCTTGGCGATCATTGGTTCGCCACATGGCATCACAACGGCCCCAGTATTACCTGAGAAAAAACTGTTACTCTCAAAACCATAAACTGAGGAACGCACTTCCACATGTCTGCCCAGACTCTGTTGAGTTGAGTGATCGAAATCCGAGGAAATCCTCATCCTTGCGGTGTTCCGTGGTGTGTGGTTGAACAAGAGGATCCAGCACGGGCAGTCCACTAGCGATGTTGCAAAAAGCGGAGACCACAGGTGCCAAGTGCCAGAAGTAACATCATGAGGACAACGCTGACCTGATGCTCTCTGCCGGAAAGCATCTTCTTCTTCTATTTGCTGTGTCAATCGTGAAGAGCTCTCTTTGGACACGTCCTAACTCCATTAAGCCTTGTTTAGAATGCCTCCTACATAGATTTCCTATAACCCTATAGAGGATGCTGCCCCTTCCCGCTCTTCCGGATACTTCGATCAAAAAGTGACGGGAAGTTTTCGAACTGTTTGCTCTTCCTAACTAGTACCAGTGCAGATACACGTAAAGGCTACGGGAAGCTCGGCATTATCACTCCACCACATGAACTAGCGTCGTAAATGCGTCCCGCCTGTTGAAGCAAGGAGAGCTTCGCTAGGAACTGGTCCGAAATCTGCTTCAGGGTTGATGATTCTACTTGTTAACTATCCATACGAACGTAAGCATGGTAGCTGGGCTTGGGACGTCCACAACCACGGCCGAGTTACTCTCACCGTAGGAATGCAATGAGCTTGTCAACTCCACCGGCAATCCTGTAGAGGAGAGTGCGGTGCCTCCCCAGTCTGCACCTCATTTGGGATATTACGATCCGAATCCGAAGTGCGAGGTTTCATACGCTCCATCCTTTACTTCATTTGACCCAGAACTCCAAACAAATATAAACTCCTACATAGATGCACGATGAGTCATGCGCTGGGAGTGACCGTTGACATCAGCTCCAGATGGACTTTGATTTCCGTCTGAATGTCTGACTTCTACATAGCACCTCGACGCACAAGCTGCTCTACATCAGCATGCTCACCACCAATGTTACACCTCGTTGTTCGATTTCGGCAGTCATTCCTAGCCCACCTCAAGTTTTTGGCATCCAGACTTGATTCGAAGAGGACCTTGCAGAATGTCGTGTAGGACGTAAGAAGACAGCGTGAGTGGATCTTCCACTTGACCTGCAAAAACACCTATGCTCCGATGAATCTTCCATGCGAACCTTCCACTGGTAAAACACTTGTCTGCACTTGATAAATTTATCTCAGTGCTGCCCAAGCGTTGGGCAGTCAAGTCACCATATCGAACTTGTTACCAGTCAATCGCATCGCTTCGGGGAGGTTATTCTTGCTGTCAATACTTGTCAATGTGATCCCCGGTCAACCGTTCCAGCTGGTTATTAAGGATGCAAATCAGCACTCTGAATCCGGGGAGAGACAGGTCAAACAAATCTAAGTTATGTTTGACCAGATAGATGAGCCGTTATTTACCAGCTAGTCTTTCTTATGTGACGATTGTTCCTCGTGACAGCAGAAAAGCAGACGGACAATCGTGCTTCACCAGTGTTGTACTCTTCAGGGTCTTCTCCCGACTCGCTATGTTTTGAGGGAAGAACGTCCCCCCCCCATGGCAGAAAATCTTTGGGCCCCGCGTTACATGCCGTCGTCATACCGTATCCCGCACAAGGTCATGTCACACCCCACCTGCAGCTCGCTAGGCATCTTGTCCGCATGCACAACTTCTACATCACGTTCGTCAATACTGAGGATAACCACGAACGCATGATGGAAGCGCAAGCCGAAGCGGGATACAACCCAGAGTGAGCATCTCCCCCGATCTTGCACCACCAACACGCCACAAGTTGGCAAATAATTTGCCGAAGGCGATCAGTTTCCGCTTGAAAAAAATGTCACTAATGAAATGAGCGACGTGTTTGCTGCAGGACCAACGCGAATATCAACTTTGTGGGACTTCCTGATGGGCTGTCCAAAGGCGACAGAAAAATCCCCGACATTATCCGTCTCTTACGAGCGGTCCTGGGCATGGGCCCCGTGATTGAGGAGTTTTTGCGCAACTTTATCGCCGATGTCCCCATCACCTGTGTCATCCGCGATGTAGCCATGTCGTGCGCACACGAACCGGCCCGGACGCTGGGCATTTCGGTCGTAGGATTCGCAACCTGTGCTGCTGTTGGAGCATATTGCTATCAGAACATCAAGACCATCAGGTACAGGGGTTTCATTCCCATTCCGGCTCCCCTTGATCCCTCCAATTCACTCGTCAATCCCCTGACTGGCATGATGCGGCTAGCCCTCACGCCCGAGGAGGAAGTCGCTCGAGCTCGTCAGCTCACAGGATTTCCAGGACTGTCACATGCAATGCGGGTCGAGGACCTTCCTACATACCTCGTCACGCACGACATGTCGAGTTTTGCACTGAAGTTCTTCATGGAAGCGCGAAACCCTCTTGTTCCAAAATGCGACTGGGTGCTGCTCAACACGTTCTATGAGCTTGAGGCTGCCAGCATTGACGCTGTGCGCAGCGACGGAATCGACGCGTGCCCCATTGGGCCTCTTGTGCTCACTCCCCAACGCGACCCAGTCTCTTAGTGCAACAGACGTGAACTAGAGGAGCTTGAGATGGCCACCAGTGGCAGCGCTGTGGATTGAAGACGCAGATTCTTTGCTCTGGCTGGAAGAGCAGCCCGCAAAATCTGTAATTTATATTTCGTTTGGGAGCATTGTGTCCATTTCTTTGCAGCAAGTTCAAGAGCTGGCAAGGGGTTTGGAGATAAGCGGGCACCCATTCATGTGGGTAGTGCGCCCTGACCATGCCCAGAAAGGCGAAGGCAACAAGGAATTCATGGTCTTCTTCGCGGAGTTCGTGGAGCGCACGCGGGGCCGGTCGCTCATTGTCCCTTGGGTTCCACAAGCCAAGGTGCTCGACCATCCTGCCACTGCAGCCTTCCTGACCCATTGTGGCTGGAACTCAACTTTGGAGAGCATTTGTGCCGGGGTGCCCATCCTGGCATGGCCACAGAATGCCGACCAGAACACAAATGCCCGTTACGTGACCAAGGTGTGAAATGTGGGGCTTGAATTGGAACGTCATCGAAAAGACGGACTCGTGATGCGGAGCGAGGTTGCAGAGAAAGTGCAGACGATTATGGCATTAGAAGGCTCCGAAGAAACTGAGATGTGCTCTGTAAGAAAGCAATCCGAGACCTTGAAAACCGTGGCTCGGAAAGCAGCATTTCATGGGGGAAGCTCCCACAAAACCATGGTGGAGTTGCTGGATATTCTAAAGGAGCTCGAGGAATCGAGAGACCCCGGGTTGTTCGAACCGGATTTTCCATGGACCGCCTCAGTTCTTGCAGGTGTGCCCCTAGCAAGTCAATTGTGATCACGCAAGCCCACAGGGGACTGCAACGTCGAACAATCGTCTCGTTCCATCACCTACTTTCCTCCAAACTGGATGCGTCGTCTTCTTTCTTCATAATTTATCAAGAATGATCGACAGATACGCGTTGAAATGGCTGTTAAAAACTTTAGAACAATTAGTCAGAGAATTCCTCCAATGAATTCCTCAACAGCTTTCCCGTCAGAACTGGTCTCCGGACATTGTATCGGAAAGTGACAGCTCATTCAGACATGCCTATTTCGATACCTCGCACGGCTTGCAAATCTCTGGCCTGCCACTCCTACCTTCAAATTTGACGCACATTTGCATGGGCAAAATAACAGACTCACGCACCACAACAAGCTCATTTCCGAACACATTTCTAAGTTACTGTCCCGCCCAAACCACATCGCTCACCCTCAAGCCCACCCTCCGTTCGTTGAGAGTAGTGAAGGCGCCTTACTGCGACTTGCCTCGCCATCGCAATGCATGATTCTAATCCGAAGCCCGAAATTCGACAATGTACTGAGAAGCGACGGCATTCTGTGACGTGATTGCATCAAGTTTGCTAGTTCTGTGATACTTCGAAGTATTGAGTGCGTGGCAATGTTAACTGACGACAAGCACATTGCCCTTTTGAAAGTTGATATTGGTCCGTTCACACCGGGAGGCTGTGCGTGGATGAGAACTGTGTTACCGATCAAAAAAGTGCAAATTGGTCGGTCTTCTTCATCAGTTGTATTCTACAGTTGCCTGTAAACCCTAACTTCGGAGGGGAACCAAGACATTGTTGAGGAGTCTTGTGTGGGGAGGGTGCGAGAGAGGTGAGGAGTGCTGGGAGGGGTTTCAGGATGCGCCTGAGGCCATGGACGCGGCCGTGCTTGGCAACACGGCCGCAGTTGGTCCTCCCGCGTCTCAGTCGCCTCGGAATTCTAGATTTGCAGAGTTCGATGCCGGGTGATCTCGTGCCCTGTCGAGGCGTCGGTGGCGTTTCGGGGGCGGCAGGGAGCGGGACACCGGGGGAGAGATATGTGGGTGGTTTTTGGAGAGATGAGAGAGCTTGTGGTATTGTGGGTGATGAACGGTCCAGACTCAATATATGTTCATTAAATGCAACCAAGGAGCAGGTCAGAGGGGTTTCTGGAAAGACTGGTGGAGGTGGTGGAACCAGGGGAGGAGAAATTGGAGGCATGGGAGCTGCAGGATTAATTTCTATGGCGAACGTGACGAGGAGGAACTTTGTAGAGTCGTTGGAGCAGCTCAGAGGGCAGCTGGCAGGAGCCGATTTCGTGGCAGTGGATTTGGAGATGACTGGAGTAGAAAGTACGAAGTGGCGACGCAACTTGGAACTTGATAGCTATGAGACAAGATACCAGAATTTGAAGCATTCTGCGGAGAAATTTGCTGTGTGGCAGTGTGGGGTCTGTCCTTTCAAGTGGGACGAAGCGCACAACAAGTGGGTAGCATACCCGTACAATTTTTTCATTTTTCCTCGTAATGAATTGCAGCTGGAGCTGCCGGCGCGTAGCTTTTTCGCACAGACTACTTCTCTGGAGTTTTTGACTAAGCATCGGTTTGACTTTAATGCGTGCATTTACGACGGCATTTCTTATCTTTCGCATGAACAAGAGGCTGTTGCAAGGGTGCTCATGGGTTCAGTTTCTGTGAAACAAAATTTTCCATCTGGTGTACACAATTCCTCTGAAATCCCGTTGACCAAACCTGGGGATGTAGCCTTTGTGGAGAAAATTCGCACGCAGATTGGAAGATGGCGCGACGAGTTGCTCTTTAATCGCCAGAAGTGGCAAGTGGTAAACGAGAAGTTGATAACTACTAGTACTTTAGTTCAACCCCCTCCTTATTCTCCTCTCGTTCCTTTGCCCACCTCTGACATTGGCAATGATTCAGTCACCATTAAGCAGGATATAGACGTAGGGCCATCGTTGGGAAGCTTACGACCCTCATTGAACATTGACGTTACAAGCCACTACCAATCGAGGCTCGTCCAGCAGATAATCAAGACACATTTTCCCGACCTCGTCGCCGCTGTGAATGCGAGAGGCAATGGTCCACACGATCGGATCAGAATTCGAGTCATCTACGTTTCTCCGAAGGAAGATATGTCTAAAGTGATTCAAGAATTGGCCGATGAGGAGCGGAATGCATTGGAGACGCGCGTCTCGAATGCTGTGGGGTTCCGAAAAGTGTTGGACGCAATTGCGGAAGCCGGTCTTCCCGTTGTGGGTCATAACTGCATTCTCGACATGACACACATTTATTCCAAATTCGTTGGTCCTTTACCTGCTACATCAGCAGAATTTTCTTCGTCTTTGCGGCAACAATTTCCTTGTGTTATAGATACGAAGTATCTTCTCAGAGCGGAACCAACGTTGCGGGGCATATTAGCCAGCCGAAGCACATCTTTAGCTGTTGTATTTACTCATATCTGTCAGGTATTCGCAGACAAGGCCGTGGCTTCAGGCAGGTTTTATTTTGGAAAAGGCAAGATCCTCAACAATGCGTTTACAAAGGTTGCGGTGGAAGTTGCAGAAGAATTTCAACGGTATGGAGGGACCAAAGACACGGGATTAAAACATGAGGCAGGTTTTGATGCTTATATGACAGGTAACTCATCATCCCGTGTTCGCACAGTTGTCTTTACGATTGCTTTTTCCTCCTTTCCGTCTTAAGCCTTGCAGATTATGTATACCTTAATCTTTACCCTGAGCTAGCTACTTCAGTGAATGAGATATCTAATACTATTGTATCATCTCACGTAATTTACTGTATCATTCAGGTTCCGTGTTTGCTCAGGCTTGTCACCTGCTTCACGTTGATGCTGCTACGATTCGAAAAATTCCAGATGCTGTGAAGGTCGGAGAACAAGGCTTTGCAAGCTATGCAAATTTGTTAGCATTGGGATGGGTAGGCAACATGGTGCTGGACCTGACTACTGGAAAAGAGGCCACAGGTGTGAAAGCCCTCCGAGGTCCCACGTCCTCTGCGGATAGGCATCCCGAGCACTCCACAGTGGCTCTTGTGTGGGGATTTCCTTCAGGCAGCAATGAATTTGAGATAAGACTAATTGTTCAGCGAGTTTTCAACGCTGAGCGGAAATTTCCACCTGCTGATATAACAATCATTGATGAGAGCTCAGCTTTTGTACATTTTAGGGATTCACGCCACATGCATCAATTTTTGCGGTTGATGCAAGGACCCCGTATTTCTGACGCAATTCCTACAAGTTTTCGAGCAGCTCCGTATCAAGCTTATGAGGTTCTTTGTAGGTCACCATTGACAACAGAGAGGTTGGTTGATTCGGCTAACATATTGCTACTGGATCGATTCTATTTACAACAGACCCCTGCAGATACTCTTGTTAGCGATATATCCTCTGTCAAGGTTCTCGAAGAGATTGGGTATGCTGAAGTTGGACACAACCATTAGCAGGAATCCAGCGATCCTGACGTAAGTATTCATGGGTTGATCAACCATTGAGAGAGCACGTCCGAGCAGACCAAGCAGTACAATTACGTATTCTCGCTGCACAGAAATAATTTTTGCAGCTGGATGAAGTGGTCGTTCGGATTGGGAGAAAAGGCATCATGCTGGCCTAGCTCAAGGATACGATCACACTGCCAAGATCCTGTAGATAGCTCTTCCAACTGAAAAAAAGAAGGTTCTCACCATTCATTTGTTCACTTTATTTTATTTTATTTAGTTCAAGAATTCAATTCTTTTTGATAAATACAAACTTATTTAATCATCTCTTTCTCTTTTTTTCTTTCTTTTAATAGAGGGATGATGTCTGCATTTATTCTCACTGCGTGTGTGCCCAAACTTGCTAGTAATTCATGCAACTTTGATTTATTCTAAATTGTTCATGTTGCAAGAATATCATATTCGTTGTCTTATAAGGGTTCTGTGTGTCAGGCGTTTGGACTTTGGCTAGATTTGAATCACAACAGGCATCAGAAATTTGCGGTTTGACCGGAAACTCCCTTGTTGGTGACCTCCAGATTTTGACTCCAGTAAAAAGGTGGCCAGCAGTTAGTCGAGGGTTTCTAAGATGTTGCTTGCGTGCTGCAGAAGAGTTATATCTAATTTCACATTTCAGATGACAAATCAAAGTCAGTATTTCATATACTTGGTTTCTGCAGAAACTTGTAATCTCTAATTTGTTTTTGCTCAATGTTTTTGAATGTGTTACCATCTCACATTCTGCCTTCTTCAAGGCCTTGTTTAGATCTATGATGTACCTTCACATATGTTGATTTCAACTGTACTTTTCTCAATAGAGATTTTCTCTGTTTTTTTCGTTTAATAGTTATCAGGTGCTTTTCTTCAATGTTGGGTGATTTGTTGCATCATTTCTCGAATTCTGATCTGATCAACTCAGATAGCTAGGCCCTGCCGCGTCTTGTAACAGTCGCGATTATATCAACATCTTAGGACAGTGGTCTGTTGTCTTTTGTTTTATGATATCGTTTTAGTAACAACTGGAGAAAGGCACATAGTAGGAATCATGGTTTGATGCCAAGAAAAACTATCAACAAGCTAATCATTGCTGGCCAAATTGATAGGGTACCTTTCAGATGAAGCACTGCCCGAAGAATATCGTCTTCTGTAACCACACGTACTGTCGCTGCAGATTATGTCCGACTAATCTATTGAGCACCAGTGGAATGCAAGTTGCTACATGGCTGTCGGCCTGTTTTACATTCTGATGGCTCCCAAACCAACAATTGTACTAAAGTTGGAGGGAAATTGGTGTAACAAGGTAGATTTATGATAGATACCTTGCAGGCTTGAAGGATATGACTTCAACATATGACTGCATGTCAACAGAGTGGTGTCATCAATTCTTACTCCACCATACAGGCACATGAGATAATTTCTCTGGTGTACAAGTATTGACATGAATTTTCACAAGTGTAATTAATATGGAGTTGATGCAAGATCAGTTTCAGTGGGTGACTTGGGTACAGCTCAAGCTTTAAAAGGCTATTGACTACAACCTTCCACATTGTCAGTGTTCAAGTTACATGTCCAGCTGTGTATTCAAATCTGTGCATGTTATGTGTGCAGTAATGGGTTAATAAATTATGCATTCTTTGTTTTCTGTTCTGAAATCTGCACAGCTACTTTATCTAGCTCTGTATGCTTTTTAACGTGAGGTACATGTAAGCCAAGTTGATAATATTACATGGTTCATGTGGGCCTTGGAGTGTGGCTTAAAAAAAAGTGTAAAAAATGTTCAACAGTTGTGCAAGAAGAGGCATCCAATAGACTAATGGTTGTAGGAACCCAAAACCTGGAGCCATCAGCAAATGTCACAAGACAAGTGGATATAAACTGCCAATTTGTACCTCGTCAGACCACACCAGAATAGCTGTTACTGGTGGTTAGGCTCTTGGCTCATGGCATATACAGTTATTGTTTCTATGCAGGCCATTTCCCTGGAGGAAATTGCCCAGAGTTTATACATTGTGAAGAATGATTTAAGAAGGATCTAGACTGGCAATTCTTATTTTGGAACCCACTCAGGCTAGGTTTCAGAGGTTTCTCTAAGGAGCTCCCACTACTAACCAAATTTTATTTTCTTGAAGTAAGCAAGGTTTAAACCCAAAAAGGGGAGCAAAAAAAACAAAAAAACACCCATGGACTTTGCTGTCATTGTTGATGTTTCCAAACCACCAAATGCAAAACCAGTCTTGCAGCAAGTCACAAAAAACTAAATGAAAAAAAAACTAAAAGTTTCCCAATACTTGCAATGGGTACAAGTGACACTTGTAACATGACGTGTAAAATGGAAAGATGGTGGTTTGCCTTGCAAAAAGAGGTGGTAGGCAGAAGCAAGAAAGGGAAGGAAGGACAGACTGACTATGTGAACCCCCTTGCTCTCTCTCTCTGGCTCTCCTGAATTTTGTGAGACTCCCTACTACCAACTTCACTCACATGGCCCAAAATCCAGGGTTGGTGATGACCACTATGGTGTTGGAGTCAGCCCTAGTTGAAGTTGTGTCATATCATCCTCCTTTCCCGTGCACTACTCATCCACATTTGGCTACTCTACACATGCTCAATATCTGGCACTCTACACCATTTTTTATAGAGAATGTGTGTGCTTCTGATGTTACATGTTGGATACTTGAGAGCCAGGTTTCCTACAACAAATAGACCTCTACAATATTTAAGATGGGTCAGAAGTGGAGGACTTGGGTGGGTGTCTTCAGAGGAGGCATTGCTAGGGCCAATACTCCACTGATCCAACCCAGGCTGTGTGGCATGCACTTGGTCTGATGTTGACATTGGCATTTTTCTCCGTTCCTATCCCCAATACTCATCCTGCTCTGGTCTAAACATAGGCCCCAATTCCATGAATGGAACAATCAATCAATCCTGTAGCAGGGGACACTTGTCACTGTGCTCGCTGGGGAAATGGAATTTTGAAAATTATGATCCCCCTGTGTCTGTGAGTGAAGGTAGATGTTCCCTGTAGATCAATGAGAATGAGAGTTGTATTTTTTAAAATTTCCAAAATCATGATCAAATTAATCACAAGTTTTGACATACAAACTTAAACATATTCTGTAAATAAGTCATAAATAGCATGAATAGAATAACAAAGATGAGACTGGGCTAGAGCAGACCCAAAACTTTCACTTCTCATTAAAAGTAGCTTAAGAAGTAGGATGTGGTGTATATGGAGATGTGACTCCAGGTGGAGGGCTTGCGCACTAGCCCTGAGCAGCCATGGAAGAAACTTTCTTCCTTAACCTCAGGCACTGGCTCTCCTTTCGTATGAAAAAGGGGTTATTCTAGGCCCCATTGTGCAAGCCTCTGCAGGTGAAGCCTGCCCTGTCCTGCTGTCCCAGCAGCACAGCATCACAGCTCTCTGGGGATGCATGCATGGATGGTTGGATGGATGGAGCTCCAGTTTTGAGCCCATGGCCACTCCTGTGTTAGCCAAAACAAGCTTCCTTTCACCTTCTACCACAATCCCTCCCTCCCTCCCTCTATAGTGCCCCTTGTCACTTCAAACACTGTGCAGCACTTGCTAATTGCCCAGCACATTATTTCAAAATGACAATAAACTTTGTTCAATTTGTTATTTTCTCACTGATTATATAACAGTAATTTCATTTTTTATTGTTGCAATTAAAGATATGCAACATTGATTTTGAAGAAATCCTCTGCAGTAAGACTTTGAGATTTATTGATTCACACACACACACATTCTCCATATACTACTATAAAAAAAACTTCTATCAACAATATTCATTTTCATAAAGCACTATGAAGTAAAATGCTCAAGCATGCAACCATATATATATATATAATTTATTACCATAAAAAAAATGTTTTCAAACTGTGGTTTACTTCAACTGTATCTTTTACAGCTTAGATATCAATGGAGATCTATAAAAAAATAGCATTGAACTTAAACACATCCAATATATATATATATATATAACATGAAATGTTTTATTTTATTTACAAAATTAACCATTGTACATAATTCATTCAAACATACAAGTGTTGCATTAAAATAGCTTCTTCTGCTTGTAAGCTAGTGGAATGATGTTGTTGCACTGAAGTGTTCTGGCTCTGATTAGCAATAATCAATGTTTACAGGGAAGTGTTTTGCATTGTTACTTCTACACCACAAGTTATGAATAAAACCATGGATTCAACATGGAAAGTGGATTGGTGACACTACTAATAGCTATCAGGTGAGACAACATCTTAAAATTTTGTTCTGATGTGTATTTCCACACTTAGTCTTGAAAAAAGCTATTAGATGAAGTCAAAAAATGATTTTTTTTGTAGTGTATTGGATGATGGTTAGGGAACCAATGTGTCAGATGGGTTTTAATCTTGTGCTACTGAGTTATGTATTCCATTTACAATATTAAACCATTTCACCTCAACATTTAGGCTGATTTTCTTGAACACAAAATCCAACAAGTAAGACTTCTCAAATTTAGTCAATCAAAGAATCTGAGTACTGTACTCTCTTGTCTTCTTTGCTTACTATATTGACACTGTGCATGGATGGCTGTATGGTGAAGAGAATCTAACTAGATTTGCATTAGAGCCCTTGGACAAAAATATCAATGAATGAGGCTCCTAGTGGAAGTGAAGGGTGAGGCCATGGATTTGAATCATCAACAACCAATTGGACTCCAACATAACGAAAACAACCAGAAATGACCAGGAATGAGGAAGGGGGGTCAACAAACACGCCTCCATCCGTACGAATGGGGAATAGTTTCATTCATCCAAGAGGGAGGGAGGGTAAACTGCTTTTGGAAGCCAGTGTTTGACGGATTGGCCCTTCTCGTGGCCGTGCGTTATAATGTCGGATGAATGTTTGAAGACTGTAAGTCATCCATACGATGAAAGTGGGATTCGTGGGGAGAGAACCGTGGCAGTGAGCCCTAAATCAAGGGCGCGTTGCTCGCAGGGGCATTTGCGAGGGACCTTTCTGCAAAATCCATGATTCCCTCACCCGCATCAACGACTGCATCCGGATCGGCTGCACTACACTTGAATTAGGACGTTTGCCAGATCTGCGGACGGACTCGTCGTTTTCCGTCGGAATGAAAGCATAGCGCGCGAAATTCGCCCCTGAGAGAAGCTGGCTTTTGTTGATCCAATTCCAAGGCTACAGCGAATTCGGTGATCGCGGGGAGGTGTGCTGCGGTAGGCGCCTGCAGAAGAGGGCATGACGTAGGTGAACAGTTCGTGCCGTTCACTTGGCTGTTCTTGTTGCGGGTTGTTCCTGAAGTGGGTTTGGTCACGGGGAGGAAACCTTTTGTTTGTTCGCAGCTGTTTTGTCTGCTACTGCTGTGCCCCGAGTTTGCCATTGTCTGGAGTGACTGAGGTACAGCGTCGATGTTGACGACGTCGGAGGTTTCGGTGATCCCACTGAGGGGTGGTGTATATTTGGATGTTGGGTCGTTTTTCGCGGGCTTTACTGAGCGTGCGTGAGTTTGTGTGTGTGTGTGTGTTTTTTTTTTTTTTTTTTTTTTTTTTTTTTTCTCTCTCGGAGGGCACTGCCATTGCTTTGGATTGAATATTGATAATTTTCATTGTCTGTGTTGATTGCTGAAAATCTGGGGTAGGCGATCGGTAGTGGCGTGCCTGGTAAACTGAGAACCGGGATTCGCTTTGCTTAGAAGGTCGTGATTTTATTTTATTTTCAAACATGCTGTCGTTGCGAAGTTCAAGATATTCCCCACGTTGTGTTTGTGGTGTTGTAGGGTTGGAGACTAATTATCGTACCTGGATATCCTTGTGCCCTGAATGCGGATGTAAGAGGTGCTTCAGAGTGTGGAAAAGAAAGGAAGGTAGCTTGGGTTAAGTTTGGGTCAATTTGAAAATCACAGACGAGGATTTAGAGTTCAAATTCGGTGTCTGTGCGAGTGGCAGAATCACATCTCTGCGCTCATCACGTTTCTAGGGGGGGGGGTTATTTGTTTACTGAGATTTGAAGGTGGTGTAGGGGTGATTGTAGAAGCTTGACCAGATACGATAAGGCTTCCGTTTGTGCAAACCCTCATAGTTTCGACCCCAGTTGTCGTGCGAAGTTCGCTGATTGAAAGATGGGCTCAATCAAGAGTGCACTCTCCATGTTAAAGGGGAATAGAGTTTAGAGCTACATTGATTTCTAGAGCGAAGAAAGTACAGGAGAGCAGAGTAGGGGCTCGATATTATCAATTTGTGAATGTTCTTTATAAACAAATGCCCTTCTTTGGAATTTTAGAGTTTTGGGATTGTTAGAAATCGAAGATTGAGAGTGGTTGCTCAAAATTATCCATGTTTATATACGTGGGAGAGGAGTAGCTGTGATGTAGCACTTCAAATTCTTGATGGAATGCATTTGTGTCTGCGATTTCAGAGAAGACGTGTTTCGGGGCAGTAGACAGACCTTGACTCTAGTTACGTTTCATGATGCTTCAGGGGCAGCTCCACGTGGGACCACAGTCGGAAAAGGCAAGGTCGTTAACCTGGAGTTGAATAGTATCCTGATGGTGTGGGATCGGGTGACCTAGTTTCGCGGGTCATTGATGGAGGTTTCGTCGCTGTTATTGCGGTGCGGGCAGCGCATTGTACTGTCAGGATGTCTTCTTCGCTGGCTTGTGGCGTCAACCATAATGTGATACAGATCTAGAAATTTAATTTATTGAGATACCTTGCCACTTCTTTGGAACTTTGGAGTAGCCTCTCCATGACCTGTGAAGCTTGTTCTCCGCACGGGTCTTGTATTAATTGTCATTCCTATTAAAAAGGTACGTTTTTATTCAGGCGATTACGAACATGTGGGCCTTGTCGTGATGTTGAATGCTTGGATATGACTGTGCTGTCCAAGCTTGCATAACGGAGTGCAAGCTACTGTGAGGAGACGATTCTTGTGAGGCGACAGGGTTTCGAGTGCTGTGGTTAGAGGCATCAGGTTACGATGAGCTTAACTTCAATTGTGGTAACGCCGAGTGTTTCATTTGTGTACAACCATCAACTGCTTCATGGCGTGGATCTTTTCTCACCTTTAAACCTCGTTTTCCAACTCCAGGACTTTAAGCAGCCTTTTAGACATGAAAGAAATGTTTTTGGACGTGAGAGAGGCTCAGAAAGACGCTGGCTTGATAGTCATGAGATTCCTTCTCAAGAGCATAAGTAATCAATTCTGCTTCTAGCTGTTTCCTGTGTGTTGAGAGAGTGAATTGCTGTGGAAGGTTGTAACAATAAATCTGAATCTCGCATTCCAATGACTGGTGAAGTCTGAGTTGGTTTAATTGAGTGCCAGGCCTGGGGGTTCCAACTAGTGAGAGGTGCACAGCATTGTGGCTGGAACTCATGGTGGTTGTCACGTTTAATTAGTATGGGTTTTCGTATTGGCATGTCAATGCAACCGATGGTTATGAGGATCCTACTATTTCGTTGGAACGAGACTTCATGCTTTGGAGAGAAGTTAGTTGTGGAAGGAAAATGGGTAAGCTAAGGAGGTTTGGGTCGCTTTCAGAGAGGAGCATTATGCATCGGCACGCATCGCCGCAGACTTCAAGTCTTGGACGACGGCTAAGAGTCCGATCTGGAGCTAGTCTAATTGGATACTTTTGGATGCTTGGATACACGAGTGTTGTTCTAGGAGCGCTGTTTTCAACAGTTTTCTTTCCGGAAATGCTCTCCATGTTGCGGTCTCAAAGAAGCACCATGCAGCCTTACATGCTTTCTCAGGTATTTCTCGGAGCTCCCAATCCAGTATCCGAAATCAACCAAACGAGGGCCATGTTTATTTGCGTAGTTGGTTCCAGATTTTTGGTTCCCACTTCGGCTGCACAATGCAGCGCGTTCTTGCAAGAGCACGAGAAGTTCAAGTCTCTTGAAATAAGTCACCCTCAATTAAGCTCTGAGGAAATCGTCAATGCTGTGGTCTGTTGTGTGACTGCATTGTACTAGATGGTAGTGCAGCAGATGCACTGACGGTGAGACGTCGAAGAGGATTGTAGTGCGATCCTCTAACTTTCGGCATTGTGCAATGGTGGATAAGATAGTAGCTGTCTGACCTAGCAGTGCTGCGTATAGCGAGCGCCGATTTAGTGGAGAAGCTCTCACCGCTGAAATTGGCATATGTTGACTTGAAATGACGTTTGTTTTGGATGGTGTTGGGAATTCCAGCCAGGTGATCATGGAATACAACCTAGAACCGATGAACTGAGTTTGAAGCAAGAATTCAGGTCCCTTCGCTTGTCCCAATTGCCGAGTACGGACGTAGAGGTGAGATCTTATTCGCATCTCCTGTCAACAGCATGTTAGTGCTCATCCGAGGATTAGGATCATCTGAAATTCTTGAGTCCACAGCATGAAGCGTGACTAAGAGTCTTGATAGTTAATATCCCTAAAGCTGTTACGAACATTTCTTGTGGGGAAGGGGTTTGCATGCGTTTTCCGACGTTTTTGTACCGAATCGTTGCATAACCTTGGGATGATCATATTTCATGGCCCGTCATGCTAGAAATAACTCTTCTGGATGAGACACGGTGACGCAAACCGATGTCACCGCTTAGGTCGTCCTTCCATCACAAATTGTCAAAATTAAGAATTAGTTTTCTTGTAATGCCACGGGGAACAAATGAGCAGGGAAGAGTGCTGTCTTGGAAAATTTGTTGCTTCTGAGGCATTTGATGTCGGTTGATGACATACGGTAACCTTGATACAGTCGGTGGAGTTCAAGAAACTTTGGAAGCCTCCTCCTAACCGAGGATTCCATCCTTGCGTTGAGCCTAGCGAGTCTTACTCAGGTGAATGACTTGTCTTTTCGCAGTTTCAGCTTGTTGTTGAAATGATGTGAACTTTGCTCAGAGTTTTATGGATTTGAATTGTAGTTTTGTCTTGAAGACGTTGCTTAGAGTTCTCCCAAGTGTAGAGCTTATAAGAACGCCATTTCACTTCTTGTGTTGGTTTCTTGAATCTGAAAATCAGGTCCAGGTATATCCAGAGGGTATCTTCTGGTTCAAAGCAATGGCGGTTTAAATCAGATGCGAGCAGGGGTATGTTTTTAAACTGAAATTGTGTCATGTCGATGTATTGCCGTTGCATTCAATGGTGAATTGTGGTATTTTGTCTTTGAGGTTGAAATCATTTTCCTCCTGCATGCACATGCTACGCTCAGGGCATCAAGTACGATGTTTGCGCAGATTGATGACTGTGATTGTGATTATGTAGCCTGTGTAGCCAGTCACTGGTCGTCTATGTTTAGGAGCCACAGGATGCCACAGGATATAGTGTGTTTGGTCCTGTTTGACTTGTATTCGCTTCGTCTCTGTTCAACTGAAAGTTGAACTCTGGTCTTCAGGATTTACTCTTCCTAGTATACCTGGCAGTGAAATGTTCTCGTTTTGTGCAAGCCGAGGATGTAAGGGTGTGTGCCAAATTGCTTGTGACACGACCTTCAATTGTGGCAGATTTGTGATATGGTGGCGGTTGCACGCATACTGAATGCTACGTTGGTTGTTCCGGAGCTTGACAAGCGATCATTTTGGCAGGATTCTAGGTGAGAGCAATTGAACCATTGTAAGGTTCGCTGTGTGCGTCTAAAGCAAACAGTCCGTCGACGGTAACGAGTGCTCAAGTGTATACGCAAAGGATGGTGTACTGCATAGTGCTTGAAGATGGCATTTAATTTGCGCAGGGCTCCTGTAAGAGCCAAGTCATGGCCAGAAGTAGGTGCTGGGACTAGTAATCTGAGTTGCAAATGTGGTTCGGTTGTAACTTGTGTTAGCGGCAGTGCAAGTTTTCCTCATCGAAGTTCTGCACGTAATCACAGCGGTCTTATGGCAATATTCTTTCTTTTGGGCCTAACCGGTGTGTCCTAACGACTGCGCAGCAACTTCTCGGATATATTTGATGCGGATCATTTTATAGCGGCCTTAAGAGGCGACGTTCATGTGGTGAAATCACTTCCTCAAGAATATTTATTAGCACCTAAAGCCGCGAAACAGTTTCAAAGCTGGTCCAACGTAAAGTACTATGTGGATGCCATTGCTCCTGTTTGGCGGGACTACAAAGTAAGTCACTGATAGTTATCTTGTCTTCGCAGTTCGCGAAACGACAGGATATCATGTTGGACTTTACCGTGTTGCGGTTTGTTGTGTGACGCACCGTTCAAGCTTTTCACACAAAGCGCTTTGCTTCGTTCAATTTCATTTCATCCGCGCGTCGTTGCCGCGATGTGTGTTCAATCGTTGTCATGTTTGTGGTCAATGTAACTACTTGATCGTGTTCTCTGTGTTACACTGTTGCGACCACAGAACTTTAGGATATGTTGAACTCAACATAGATGATCTAGATCTCGAAGTCCTGAGATTTGACGTGATTGAACTGTGCAGGTCATTCGCGCTTCTAAATCTGATTCACGCTTGGCAAATAATGACTTGCCTGCGGACATACAGAAGCTGCGATGCCGTGTTCATTATGATGCCCTCCGATTCTCACGTGCGATTGATGAGTTTGGGAAGGTGCAAGTTAACTGCTGTGGTAGCATTGAATTGTTTGTTATTGGATTGGACGATTTAGTTGTAGCGTACCTATCACATCTATCGTCGTGCAGTCTCTGGCACGTTATTTCTTGCTGCAAGTTTTCGCGAGTTTGGCACAGTAACCCCCCCCCCCCCCCCAAAGTTTCATCCTGAACATGCGTTTTATTGTCTTCGCAGAAACTTGTAGAGAGATTGAGAACAAATGGACCCTACATTGCTTTGCATCTTCGGTATGAGAAGGATATGTTAGCCTTCAGCGGCTGCACACATGGTCTAACACACAAAGAAGCTGACGAATTGACTACTATAAGGCAAGCAGATTTAAACCCTATTATTTTGTTCATTTTGTGATGGTTTCGTGCAGAAGTTGGAGACGCCTGCGATGGGTAAATTGTGCCGTGTACCGTAGATGGCGAAAGTTGCAACTTGGTTCGTATCTGTTGGGCATAAAGATTCGCATCTTACGATTTCCGAATACTCAAATCACCAATGCTTGAAAACAAAGCCAACCGTTACGCGGAGACCATCAGGTGTTGCACACGTTTAATGTGTATGAAATGGTTTCAGACATACTACCGCCCATTGGAAGGTTAAGGACATCAACTCTACCGACCAAAGGGTAAAAGGGTATTGCCCGCTGACACCAAAAGAGGTCGGGATTTTCTTGAAGGCCTTGGGCTACCCGGAGACTACACCAATTTACATTGCTGCTGGCGAGATTTATGGTGGTGATGAACGCATGAAAAGCCTGCTTTCTCGGTTTCCAAATGTTTTGCGAAAGGTCAGCCCGCTCAGTAATTATTCAAGAGTTCAGGTTTTGAACAGGAGTGTGAAAGTAGGATCTAGATGATGGGTTTTGGACCTGAGGATTTGCACGGCAGTGGAGTGAATTTCGTGTGTTGCAAAGTGCCAGTCCTTGGTTTGTAACTCCAGTTGCCAATGCCGGCACAGTTGCACTCTTCTGAGTACCTTTGCACGTATTATTCTCGTTTAGGAGAAGAATTTCTTTTACTCTTACATTCATTACAGGCCTTGCATTTATTACCATGTAGTTTAAGCGTGGGTCATTGGCTGGAGTTCAATTCACCTGATAGCTCTGATTGGAACTGGCTATTCAAATTGCTCATGGCATGGAATGTACGTGCATACAGGAGACCGTAGCCACGCCAGAGGAGCTTGCACCATTCGTCAATCACTCCTCTCAACTGGCAGCATTGGACTACATTGTTTCTGTGGAAAGCAACGTGTTCGTGCCTTCCTACTCAGGGAACATGGCCAGAGCTGTGGAAGGACATCGGCGGTACCTTGGGCACCGCAAGACCATAACCCCAGACAGGTTTGCATGTGTGGAAAACCTAATTTGTTGAGCGATGTGGATTGTTTCGTGCAATTAAACCTCTCGAGAACTTCAGCATGCTTTTGCAACTAACCCAGCATCTCCGTCTTATGGAAGGACATGTTCTGTTTCAAGCGACAGTATTGAAGAGGTTTGCTTCGGGTTTTGCAGGAAAGAACTTGTAGCACTCTTTGACAAGCTAGACAGAGGAGAGCTCACTGAAGGCCCAGAGCTTGCGGAGACGATCGCAAACATTCACAAGCGGAGGTACGATGACTCGATTCTGCAAATGTCATGTTGACATTTGCTCCGGTTCATCTCTTGTTTTCATATACGATGTTGAAGCCAGAATTTAGGCGTACAAGTGCTGTGTTTGTTCCAAAGTACCTTTGGCTTTGGAGGCAAGGGATTGGATTCACATTAGATCACTGACATCTATCATCGTGTAAACCTCAGTCCCTTTCTTGTCTGACTTTATTTTTGGTGGCTGATTCGCATGGTACAATTATTGGCACCAATTACAGCACATATCACTGCTTCATTGATTTTTTCCCGTCTTTGCAGGCAAGGAGCGCCACGGAAAAGGAAAGGTCCCATCACAGGTACAAAAGGAAGGGACCGGTTTAGGACGGAAGAGGCCTTCTACACAAATCCTCTTCCAGATTGTTTGTGTTCGGAGACTGATCCAATCAACATAAAGCCCAAAAACTTCAACACGGATAGGCAGCTTTTGAGCCATGATCCTCAATGGAGGGATGGCCACAATTCATGGCAAAGACACTAGCATACCTCATGCGCAGTCTTCTTCTTTTGTAAAGTGCAGTGCACTTTTGTAATTTGCCTGAGAATCTGTAATGTGTATTAATTGACCCACACCGACCAAACAATGGTGTTTCTCTCCAGTTTCAGTGTTTAGTTTGTGCAATTTCCGGTCATGCGCTACCGCTGTTCAATCTTGTTAGAAATGTTGATTGCTTTGGTGCTGTGTAAAACTTTCAAAGCACAGCAGAAGTGGGCGTCATCCTTCTTATTTTTCTTGAGCATTGAAGGTTTCTGGTTTTGTTTCCAGCATTTGGAACCACAAAGCTCTAATTACTATCAACCACTGAGCACAAGATGCAATTGTGGTTGAGGAACTCATCTTCTCTACAAATTGTAATTTGGATTAGACACTTGTATTGAAGGTCGACTCTCTCCTTTTCCCTCAATAATGTCCAATTGATCAATTGTGAGGTTTTAAATTCAGGCACACAAATATTTATTTGTTACAACTTTTTTGAAAGTTAATATTAACGATATCTTTTTCCACCAAGATGTTACAAATATTAGAGATCCCACCTATCTTTCAATCTTTTGGGCATAATATTGGTCTTATTAATATTCTTTACAATTTTTAATAGTAAATAAATTATAATAAAACACATTGCTATTACAAACAGAAAATGGGCTTCATTTCAACTATAGCAAACAGAGTGCATCTTGTATTATTTGTTATAAATTAGTGGAAATTTGTATCATCAAACTTAAGCTTTTTGTTATAAAGTATAAATGTTTTTAGAATAAACATATGGCATAAAACGTGCAGGTAGTATAATTTAAAGCACCAGTGATTTTATAAAAGTCTCATAAATTTATTCATTTTTTTAAAATATCAAAATAATTTAAAAAATTGGTATAAAATAACAATACAAGTTTTTTACACAAATATTAAATTTTGGATGTTGTTAATGCCACCAAATGTTTTGCTATTATTACCACAATTTATTCTTTAAAATATTTTAGTAATTTTTTAGTAAAATTAAATTTACCTTTTGCATAATTAAAAAATATATATTAAAAATATTCATATAATTTTTTTAAAGGAATAAAAAAGCCTAAAGAAATATGTCAATTAAGTAGTGGGTTGTGGTAACAATAGAAAAAACTATGATGACATGTAGCAGATTGTAGATTGTGGTGGAAGTAGCAAAAATTGTGGTGGTATCAACAATATCCTAAATTTTATAACTTTCATTAAAAATTAAAAATATTACTATAAATATAATTTATACATATATTTATCATTAAAATATATTTATTTTTAAAATATCTAATTATTTAAGGAAATTATCATGTTATTCAATACTTATCTAATGAAAGTTATAAAATCAATTAGATTATTAGAAATGCATCAAGATATAATAAAATATAATTAGTCACTAATGAATAGTTTGGTGTAATGATTTATATATGTTATATGATGATTAATCTTAAAATTAGTTTATAATCATTCCAAAAGAGTTTTAAAATTAAATCTTATTTTTGATAATTATAAAAATGATATATTTATTTTTTACTTTTTTATTTAAATAAATTACACCTATTTGTCTTTAATTTTTTCTTATTAGTAGACGTGCCTTGATAATAGAATTCATAAACTTTATGACAACCAAGCAAGATCCATTGCAAGGTCATTAATGTGGAGCAATATGTTTTAGAAAAATATTATGGCTTTTTATTTCTAATGGTAATTTTAACAAAGCTATTTGATATGTTTTAAGTATTGAATATTTTTTTAAATATAAATTCTTATTCTCTATTCTTTAATTGTATTTATTTTAATTTTTATATTTCATTTGTATTAAGATAAACATGCAATTCTTTGAAAAGAGAAAAAAAAATAAAGATTTGTCTATTAAGCTTTTTCATATCATGATGTTGATATTATATTAATAAAATATATTAATTTATTAAATATTTATCTTTATATGCCTTTATGGCTAATAATTTGTGGTTAATTTTAAAATTATAAGATTAAAAATATATGTAAAAATACAAAGAAATTAAACTCTTTTAGAAAAATAATTTTAAGCTTTTAAATTGTACTTAGAAAATTATCAATTTGAATATATTTTATTATTTAAGTACATTTTTTAAACTTACAACTTTAATATCTTATTAAAACTTTGAAGCTCATTTACAATAACAATCTAAGTTACATAAATAATTTTTTATAATTAATTTTTAAATAGACTAATATGTGAAATAAAATATAATAAAATATTATATAAATGTCAAGTAGAACTCAATAGAAAATCTTTAAACGTCTTGTTAGATTTGAATAAAAACTAATCATATAATCAAATTGGGCCATTTTATTATTTATTTTTATCAATTTTAAAAAATTAAATATAAAAATTAAATTTATATTTTTGACTAAATAATTATCAATAATTTTTATTTATTTATTAATTTTTTCTTGCATTAATTTTATTATATAAATTCTAGTAATTTAACTATGCAATGTTCTTTCAAGTTATTTGCTAAACAAAATTTAAAACTTCAATAAAAATGAGATCTTCTTTAAATGATGCAAACTCAATCATAAAATTTTAAAAATACTAAAATAGAGATTTTTACGTATAAAAATATACAAATTATATTGTAATTATAATATTATCGATAAAATTTATAAGTTATTATAAGGAATATTAAATTTTTATATTAATGCTCATTTCAAACTCTATGTTGGATACCAATTAAAGATAATAACTAAGTAACAAGGGTTGTGTACAAAGGTGATATGGATGAGACTTTTAACTTAAAGTTTAATTAGATTTAACCAACAAACTTGGACATTAGAATTTTTGCAAAATAAGGTTTAATCGATATTGATCTTGTTGCAGCCAATAAGGCAAGGTTTGCATAACTTTCCATCATGAGGATATCAAGATATTAATTTTTGAACTACCCTTGGATGACCTACATGCAACATAACAAAGCTTATCACCCTTACAAGCCTTGTAAGTTGCAACAACATATATTATACCACCAAATTCAATGAAGTGCTTAATCTCGCAAGATTGGCTATATTTAATTTATATTATATTATTTTAATGTTACATTCAATACAACGGTGAAATTAGATACTACATGTATAACAAAGTTTGGTAGCAAGTAAAGTTTGCAAGAAGAACCATAAGGCTAGTAAGCTAATACCATTTGCAAAGTGCTCAAAGTGCTCCAACCAAACAATGACTCTCTTTTTAATTGTAAGATAATCAGTACTGTGCTTCTTGATCAATATTACAATATCAAAAGTAAGTGCAATCAATTCTTGCATTCCTATAGTCGACCTTGTTTCTAATGCGTGGTCTGATATCCACAATGAGCTGATTGTTAACTATTTGGCCACAATTCCAATGCAAATGAGTCTCTTCCTAGAGTTTGAGTTTGTGTCAATAAGACGAGGACACATTCTGGAATGGATTGCGAGGAATACCAAACGGGTCTTGAAGAAGTGCAGTCTGAAATTTGTCGGCATGCTGATCAACAACATATCCGCATTACAAGAAAAGATGGGAAATATTGTCCGCTAAATTCCCCTCGTCCTTTATCAAGGCTGTACATTGTATGATCTCTATTTATTAGTCAAAAACATCTCTGCGGCGACGGGGACTACGAAGCTTGGAGATACAAAACCTTCCTATCCTCTTGGGTTTCTGTTTGAGTATTTATAGCGGTTTGCTTCCAATGTTGAAGAAGTCGTGAATTTTTTTAATTCACACCACTGCATGAAAACTAGGGTGTCCTAGCTGCAGAAGCCTCTCAACCTTTGTGCACTTTCAAAGTCCAAGCCGACTAGATGGGGATCATTACAGAAGTGCATGGAGACAGTTCTCGATTTTGAATCCATTTTGCATGGCTTCTATGTGAACGGGACTTCGTAACCGACAATGCAACACAAAACGCTGAACAAACTAGAATCTGATAAGGATTTCAAAGCTCATCTTCTCAAGGACATCAAAATCCTTTGATCAATTGACTAGCGCATTGTCAAGTATCAAAGTGGTTCATTTTTTTGTTTCTGAAATCCTTCTTGATTTCCATCAACTGCCGAGGGATTTTGGTCAGTTGTCAAAAGAAGGAATTTTTGACTGCGAGTAAGCTGCTTTACCTAGCAAAAGCAGCTTATCGAAGATTTCATTTTGTGTGCGTTAAGGCTCATGGTCTCTCATATTTATTGGACCCTCAATTCATTAAAGAGGGTATTTCCTAAGAGAATAAAAAAACAAGTCAAAGACATGCTTTTCAAAGTTCTTGTCAATATTACTACCCTTATGGATGATGTTCGGCGAGAGGATCTGTATATGCATTTTGCGAATTTTGTTATCTCAGCTCAACAATTCAAGCTTGAGAATTTGTTCTGGTTTAAAATGTTGATTGATAAGCGAAAGATCCTGCTGCAATATTGGCACGCTGATGGAGTTGCATAGCCGCTCCTGCAATAGATTGCAATCAAGCTGTTTACTCAATGGCCTGTTAAGGGTTCAGAAGTTCAAGTCCTTCCAACGGTTGTTCGCCAGAGATGATGACGGTCTTCCAAAGGATTGCGTTCAATGGATCTGTTGAGGTCATGACAACTAAAGAAGTGAAAGTTTGTAGGACAACCGGGCCCTGCAGTTCTTTGCAAAAGAAGGGTGCCTTTCCTTTCCGTCATGAACCTTTCTTCTGGATATCTTCTGCTGATCTAGTCAATAGCTACTGTAATCATTTGGATATGTGTTTCTCCCCCAAAATCCCGTGTCATAATGCTATTACACAAAGATAGCAAATTGTTCACTAAATACTAACATTTGAAATTATATTCTGGGGATCTTAAAGCCAAATTTAAGCATCAAAGCCAACTGCTGGGTTTATCCTTGTAGGGCCAAAGGTGATATATGAGCGTCTTAGTAATCAGGGTGGGTTTGTGTTGAATTCAAGTTCACCGACAGGCGATTTTTCATGGTGATGATGTTGATGCAGGAGCATCTATAATGATACGGAGGTTGGCACTGGAGGTACAAGTGTGTGGAAACTTTGCACGTCGACCAACAAGACTTCAGTTGCTCTCTATTTCGAAGTTGTGAGAGCTCATCTA